GAATTGAAGCCAGTGAGCTACAACATGCCCACTTGAAACTTTACTACAAAGCTACTGTACTTATACTGACACTAATAACAATTATTTGACTTGAAATGAAGTGACAGAATAGGTAACTTATCTTCTACATGTAGGTTTTCAGTTGTCACAACACTCAGCGTATGTAATCAGCTGTTGAAAATAAACGGGCTCAATCTTAAAAACCACGCTGCCGCCATATTGGCTACACTGGTCACGTGACGAGCCGAGGCATAGCTTAGGAGCTTTCCGAGGAGTGACCACTCCCCCTTATAGAGTCTCCCTGGTTCAAGTAAATGAATGAGACATCTGCATGAGTGAGTGAGTGAACTTAGTTTTACGCCGCTTTTAGCAATATTCCAGCAATATCACGGCGGGAACACCAGAAATGGGCTTCACACATTGTGAATACATGTGGGGAATCGAATCCAGGTCTTCGGCGTGACGAGCGAACGCCTTAACCACTAGGCTACCCCACCACCACACATCTGCATGAAGAATTCAAAACTTAGTATACTAATCCAAAGATTACCATTCTCTAATACTGTAATCAGACACTGCATGTGTAGACATGCATCAGGCACAGTTGTTGAGAGATCAATAATAAGTGATATGAAAGAATCTGTTCCTTAACTTCTGTGGAGTAGTATATAATAACAGGCCAGACTCCTGTAACACCACCTGTAAAGCTCCTGTGTAGCTTATTTCAATGCATCATAATTTTTGCAATATGACAGTTTAACATATAATGGGTAGATTTAATAATAATATTATTATTATCATATAATAGGTGGATTTATTAATAATAATAATATTATTATTATCATATAATGGGTGGATTTAATAATAATAACAATATTATCATATAATGGGTGGATTTCTGGGCAGGATAAAACCATAGGCTAAAACAGTATTCACTAAATATGCAAATAAGACACATCAGGTAATAACTACAGTTAGGGGTTATACCCCTCCTACCTGTTGACGATGCAGTCAAAATAGGTTGTCAGTTGTTTAACATACCACTTAGCAATTTTCCAGCTATATGACAGCTGTCTGTAAATAACAGTGTCTGGACCAGACAATGCATAACATCAGTCTACACAAATTGTATATGATGATGTCCTGTCAGTGGCCCCATACAACAAGCAAGAGTTGCTGAAGACCAATCTTCATGTACATACTGTGTTAGTACTGCCTGTTGTCGCTAACTCCAAGTTTTATATCTAATACAGGATATACCATCCCATAGCATACAACCTCAGCATGTACAGTAAACCACAGTGATATAAACACAAACTAATTCTTGTTCGTTATAATCTTAGTCCCTCATAAGCATTTTGACTAAAATAAACAGGAAGAGACTAGAACAAAAGACCGTTTTGTTATATCCATCAGAAAATTTAACATAGTCTACTGTATATGAATGAGTGAGTGAGTGACCAATATATGGTATAACAAGAACTGTCTAGTTGAAGTCACTTAATGAAATGTTGACTTGTAAAACACACATAAATGGGACAAGTCAAGTTCTGTACAATACCTTTATGCCAACCTGTTTGTGGCATCATTAGTTGGTGAAAAATATACGATACACCATGAGGCTGCTGTCTGTATTCGTAGATGATGGAGGAACATAGCCTGTTTTGACCATGGCCTTCAACACATAATGACATCTTCAGGGGTCAGAGAGGATCAAAGAGGGTCAGAAAGCATTCAGCCAATCCATTTACACGATCTATATTCTATACAGTCAAGGAGGGCTATTATAAACTTCAGAGCACAGACAAGTACTGTCATCCAAAGTGTGGTAGCTATTTCGGTCATGTGGAGTACATTCACATGCTGATAAAATACAGATAGAGTTATGGGTATGCCAAGGTAGTTGGCACGGCCTGTCCAGTTTATCTGAAATCTTGCAATCTGCTTTGAATGTTAATTGTTGAGTTTGTGCAGTGTTTAGTTCGTGGAACCCGAGTATTGGCCTTTGCTCTAAGATAGATAGAGAACCTGTGGCAGTACTTTATTGTTATTTACAAACTGTCACGAGAACAAAGGCCTTGGCTTCAATTCACTGTTTGTTCCTGCAACAGTTTACATCCTGATAAAGTACTCATACGCATCCTATATCTATTACTTGTACAGCGATGAAAACACAGAAATACTCTTGATATGTGTGAGGGATAAGCAGCTGCCCATACATCATTACAGGCAATATGGAAACATGCAACATATGCTACATTTGGGATGACACCATCTCTGTAAAGTGCAGATTGCAGTACATTTTGGGGTCAAGTCCTATCCAGGATTTGAGGTCACATTCTCATAGTGAGAAATGAATTCATGTCACAAAAGGAAATTATTCGGTATTTCTTTCTTATTTACAGACTGAAACTGGTTTACAGATAACATTATGACATGTATTATAAACACAAAGCACTTGCACATAACACGTTTATACTACAGAGAAAACGTAACTTCAGCCCAAACGTCACTTCCATTCATAAAGGCCCATTACAGACATAACCAAATGTAACGTAACAATATTAACTTTATACATTCTCAACTGACAGAAAGATAAGATTATGACTCAACACATTGCAGCTGGCAAGCATCTGCCAGATTGGTAATGCTTTTACCAACTTAGGGACACCCATGAGCATGAGAAAGGTACTGACTAACCTACACACACAAATAAGGCAATCACACCCACAATCCAGACAGAACGATAATGCCCCTTGTATTTTTGGGTATCCATAAACTTACATAGCTCACTGCAGCTTGAATCCATGATGTGTCACGTTGGGCAACTCTCAGTGACTACAGCAGTTTAAACAAACTGACAAGATGCAGTTAAGATGCAGTTACTATTAAGTAGGCTCAGGATTACTGTATTGCAACAACTTCATTATCAAAATTCCAGGAAAGATCTGGAAATTGTTGACTATTCACTGTAGGCTGACTATGATTGTACAAAAAAAAAATCGAAATAATAATAAAATAAAATAGAAAACCCCAAAACATCTTTTACATTTTGATGAAACACTTTGTGTAAACATCTGCCAGATCACGGCCATTGCAGTTTTGACAGCCTATCAAATTGTGTAACACTTTTACCTATCTAGGGAAATCCAGTACCATGGATACTGTACTGACATACCGACACACATAATGAAAGCAAATAAGGTAATCACACCAACAATTGTAGGTTTTGCATGCCAAAGGGACATAACTCTGCACAGCTAACTGCAGTGCCCTTGCCAAGTGGACCACCCTGACCTTCACCTTCATCACAGCTTGGGTGGAATGCAGTCACAGGAACAACACACCATGACACAGTATCTCATAAAACTGTCACCAAATCAACATTAACAAACAATGGTGTGTAACCATGGAAACAAGAGAGTTATAAATAGCAACAGTAACAGGATGGCTTAAATGAGTGGACGAAACCATCCTATACAGTAACAATCAAATGTAAGAGCACATTGGTGCTTTTCTTTTATGTGCCATGCTGACACATGGAGTACAGTGTAACATTCAGGAGACAGGAAGACATTGCGCTCCACCACAGGCAATTAAATTTCAGCGCTGCAGCCAGAATTCCCTTGGAAAGCCTCGTCTTGAATTCCGGAAGTTTCAATATTTTGATTTCCGAATGTTTGACATCACTTTCAATGAAAAGAGTCGTATTTTGAAATTAATTATGTGCCCGATATATAAAAACACATAAAAATAATAAATTTGCACCATTGTTGGCGCATACATTTATAAATAAAGCACCAACGTAAGTACATGCGGGCTGTCTGCAGCATTGAATTTTCCATGGGATTATATTCCAATGTCATCAACATTTGTAAATACAAGTAAATACAACATCAAACACTCTAACTAATAAAAGATGTTAAAAATGTACTTGTCCAAGCATAAAATATATATTATGGACACATATATGCGACCGTAGTCTAAGCACCAACAAGCTCACACACTAGATGCAGTGATATAGTCAAATTTCAAAACAGTTCCTTTCAACAAACAATGTTTTTATAATCAGCTTCGCTTAATGACGTCTACCAGTATGAATTTTGTGAAACTCAAACTGGCAAGTATGTGCAAAATGCTTGATTAATTATTCCAACTTCAGCAGATCTTACACTAGTCGGAACAGTTTTACTAAACAGCTATTGCATTAATTCTAAATTGTACACATTAATCACAGCAGCACGGCGATGTTCTCTGGACAATGACATCACTGTATTGTACTCCACCATTGCATGGTGTTGGGGATGGTATTATGCAATCAGTGTATGTCTCTGCACATAGGAAATTGAGAGATGATCTAATTATTCATCATCAAATCAATTTACCAAAGCATTCAACATACAGACATTATAATGTGTTCTACAAGATCAATATCTTATCCATCTCCTAATTACTATTAATGTTACTTTTATACAAATGAAATACACAATGCCATTTTAGAAAGAGGTCAAATGTAACATATGTTATATTTGGGATTACACTTTCTCAGTAAAGTACAGATTCTAGTACTTTTGGGGATGTGTCCCAGCTGGGATTCGAACCCACACCCCCAGAGTCAGGCACCTAATTGCCAGCATACCAAGTCAGCAAAGTTATTTATACAAATGTTCACAAGATGGTGAATTTATAAGCCCCAACATTAAGTTATAATTTGGCCAAGCAGATATCAAAGTTTGCTTGGCATGATGGAAAGCCCTGTAACTATTTCCTTTTTAAAAAAAATATGTTAAATACTCTTCAAACTTATCAGGTATCCTTACTCCATATTACAAACATGACAACGTTATAACACCAGCCTGCTACAGTATACTTTTCTACATCTCTTGACACATTAGGTGTCGAAAATTAACTCAAGAACATTAGGATAATTGCAAAATTTAACTTAACGCTGTGGTAAAGATTCCAGTGGAACATTGGACAATTACTCAAGATATGTTCTGTTTTGCCAGTCAGTCAGTTAGTCATAAACATACTAGGCATTCTATTACATACTACTTTTAATAAAGGTTTAATGTTTAAACAGTGAATTACATAAACTAGCAGTATTCTGAATTCTTAAGTAAAAATTTGAGATTGACCTGTAGAAATATGACACAAGACTATGAACTTCTTTCAACATATTTGTTTCCACACCTTGTATCATGAAACAATGCATTTAAAAAGTTAAATATATCATTCATTCAGAGACCTGTTCTGGTAAGATAGGGCCCCAAACACCCTAGAATGACAGTCTCTGCTTGAACTTCCCAGCACTTTGGGGAGTGTCTTCTCTCAATTCATCCGGGCTTTGATGGGGGGTGGATGCAGAGTTCTGGGAGGCACCACGTTTCACAACTGGAGTCAGCTCCCATCCAAAATGCTGCAACAAAATATCGGAGCTGGCTGAAATTTTGCTGTGAACAGTTGGTCAGTCATATCTCTGCTATAGCTAATAGTTTAATGCCATTTTTAGCAATATGCCAGCAACATCACAGCAGGGGACGCCAGAAATGGGCCTCACACATTGCACCCATGAGGGGAATCGAACCTGAGTCTTCAGCATGACGAAACGCTTTAACCATTAGGCTACCCAACAGCCCGAGTCAAGAAGGAAAGCAGCTGAGACAACCTGTAACAGTATGGGTGTACCTTGGGGGATTCCATGTTGTGTTGAGAGCACCAGTTCTCGAAGCACCGAGCGGCTATCCCAAGTTTGGCCTTCTGTTGTGCGTCTTTACAATAAACCAATATCATTTGCTCAGCAAATTTCTCAGGGAGCATTTGTGAGACCTACAACAGAAAATCATAACAGCTGAGCTTTTACTAATTAAAATCAGTTAATGATTCACAAACCTCGAACCCATGAATTGCTCATCTGCTCATCTGGCAAGGTGGTTGGAAAGTCATGGTAGGAGGATTGTGAATTACGGGTCCTTGGTTGGTGCACATTGGTGCCTCACAAAATGTGGCCAGTTTGAAACAAGATGACTTGTATACACAAACTACAGCAATAAATCAGACTTACAGCCTCAACGGAGTTGTGTTGTTGACAGAGCCATCCCCATTAAAGTATTACCAGAGAATGTATACATTGAACATCGACCTACCTCTGACTTTCGGACCTCCACAGCTGTGTTTGGGTCAGACTTGTTATAGAAGCGGACATTTTCTATTGGATTCTTGTCCTTCATGCCGTAATCCAGGTACACCAGCTGAAATATATGCATCAATGTATGGCTACCATGACATTCATCATACAAATCGTAAATCTCCCGTTACGTATCTGTTAGTCAGCTCTAGGAACAATGTTATAAGTAGAGTATTATGACGTTCTTATTCTATAGGTAGCACTACACAGGACAGAAGCCTTTTGTTGATACATTTCCTTCTTTGAAACAAAATTTGACTGGTTTGGTTGGTTTGTTGTTTACAGCCGCACTCAACAATATTGCAGCTATATGGCGGTGGTCTGTAAATAATTGAATCTGGACCAGTCAATCTAGTGATCAACAGCATGAGCATCGATCTATGCAATTGGGATGCGATGACATGTGTCAACCAAGTCATAGTCTGACCACTTGATCCAGTAAGTCGCTTTCCTACGACAAGCATGGGTTACTGAAGATCACTTTTAACCTGGATCTTCACGGGTGGTGCAGGGGTGGAAATAACCCATTGCCCAACGTCCGAGTTCAGCATTTTTTCTGTCGGGCAAGCAAATTTGTATATCACACTGTACTGGTGTCCAGTTGATTTTCCAATGTTAATTATGTTGTTCATTTTAAAAAATCAGCAAGAAAAGGGTCGGTATAGTGGACAAATTATCAGGGCAAGTGACTTTACATGTGCCACTGTACCGGAGTACACTGTCAATTTTAAAGTTATTTCCAACCCTGTGGTGACTTCGGACTTCGGACATGTATCACAACTGTGATCATGTGTTTTCTTATCAGACCAGAAATGTCAATACATACAATGTAGCATACACTGCATACATTACTTCTGTCAATTCTCAATTCTATACATAGTTACAGGACCCATTTGTCTGGTAAAACCCTGGACCAACATCTGATGTATTTATTATTATGGTAGACAAGTGGACTAGACTAGTGGTTAAAGCATTCACTTGTCATGCCGAAGACCCGGGTTCGATTCTCCACATGAGTACACTGTGTGAAGCCAATTTCTTCAGTCCCCCGCCATGATGTTACTGGAATATTGCTAAAGCGACGTACAACCATACTCATTCTCTATCAAGGTGGCAACAAGTTCATTGTTGCAACTACACTGCCATCCCCGGTGCTCAGTCATTCAGGTGAGCTAACGAATGTATAATGAGATGATGATGATTACTTACATGCACGACGACATCCTCAATATCCAGGGTGATCTCAGACTCCTTGTCATCATCAGTCATACTCTCAATCAGTTGACGCTGAATCAGTGGGATGTCATCCTGGAAATCACATCAACATGTTAAACCATGTTACACAGCCTCCAACTAGTAGACAAAACTCATGTGATGGTAGATTACAGGCACAAATGCATCCACCAAGTCACCTCTTATAACAAGTGAGTGAGTGAGTGAGTGAGTGAATATATCACTTTACGGGGAAGCACCAGAAATAGGCTTCACACATTGTACTGATGTGGGGAATCGAACCCATGATAAACGAAGGCTTAAACCCCTAGGCTACCCCTTCCCCACCGCCACTCTTATAACAAGTGTACCAGTACAGTTCCAAATCTCATCAGATTCTGCAGTTGTTAATTCTGAATTCTGCAGAAATTCGAGCTTCATGCAGAAATGTAGCTATCTTGCAGAAAATCACATTTGGAACTATCTTGTAGCTATCTTGCAGAAAATCACATTTGGAACTGACCTTGTGTACAATTTGGTATCTATCTGCCACCTTACTCATAAATAACTCTACAGAATTTTAACAAGCTGGTTGAAAACTGGTTTCAGTGTCTACCTGTTGCATCAGTTTACAGAAATGAATAGTTATTAATGCAGATTTGCATATGAGTTGTACTTTAATTTAACATATGAAGTACCGGTAGTTATTTGAGGTGCTTGTGTTATATTTGAAAAAAGGAACAAATGCTAAAACAAAGCCAGGAATACGTTTATCACACAAATGCCTGTAATAACTCAAACAGGTCCAAAACTACGAAAATCACCAAAAAAAACTAAGCTTAAAAGTATTGTGTGTGGAAGTGTCAAATATGGAACTGTGCCACCTTTCAGTTAAAGATGTCAATATACAATATACAAACAACATGAGACAACTTTTTCCAGAGTTGAAAAAAAATAAAATAACAAACAGCCGATATAAATAAGCAATGGGTATTCAATACTGTGTACTGTATGGACATTCAAAAGACTATTCTTGATATTAAGTTTTTTATCAGTTCATCTTAGAGACAAACGGACTGCACCTCACTAATATATATACACTCTGGTCTGCCATCTCCTGTGTGGTAGTTGTTGTTTAACACCACACTCAGCAATATTCCAGCTACATGGTGGCGGTCTGTAAATAATCGAGTCTGGACCAAACAATCCAGTGATAGACAGCATGAGTATCGATCTACACAACCGGGATATGTTGACAAGTGTCAACCAAGTCAGCGAGCCTGACCACCCAATCCCGTTAGTCGCCTTTTATGACATGCATGGGTTGCTGAAGACCAATTCTAACCTGGATCTTCACAGGATCCATCTCCTGTGAGTTCCTATATAATTTCAGCGTAAAAGTAACATATGTCTATTTTTAATCAAATAATGAAGTGATATCATGTACAACTCAGGGAACTGAAATGTGCAAAACTCTTCAAATCTTCCATTGTCTGATATTGCAACAGGTTTAAGCAGATGGCTTTGTGGCAAGCTGAACAAAAATGATTGTCATTGCAGTTTGAGGAATCGTGAATCTGAACACTCACATTGATGGCCTGAATCACTGATTTGAAATGGCACGATCACAAAGCATCTATTTGTATTCATGTGCAATTGAGGAACAGAGTACAGTAAAGCAAGCCTGTGACAATGTTTCATACAACACATAAGAGGTGTAATAATGCTACCATGCCAACGTACATGAGGGCTGTAATGAATCCACAATGATGCGAAAATATGCTACGTACCATGAATACTGAGTAACAGTTTTAAAAACAAGTCAGCAGTTGATGTATTATTCAACACATCCAGTGAAACAAGAACTGTATGATAACATAATAATTATTTGACATGTTTTGACTATGGCCAGTGACCACATTACTGTCAAATTAAACATTAAATAAAGGATGTTGGCTATTATCATGTTTGGCTTGGATATATTCCATTTTTCATATCTGGTTTTCATATATAACCTGTGGTGGGGTAGCCTTGTGGTTAAAGCGTTCGCTCATCACGCCAAAGACCCGGGTTACAATGTAAGAAGCCCATTTCTGGTGTACCCACCGTGATATTACTGGAATATTGCTAAAAGCGGACATAAAGCTAAACTCACTCATTCATATATAACACCAAAATTCAAGTAAAAACAATCCTTTTAAAAGTAATTACAAATATTCAATTATAGTTATCATGAACAACAAATTAAATGAGGGATTATTTTCGATTGACCAAATCTTATCAGCCGTAATGTGCACATCTGCCTCACCCCACTGATGATCCGGCCTGCACATGGCTGACTCTGCCCGACACATTTATACAGTTTGCGACACATGATGTTGTTGATGATGTTGCGAGATGCCTCCAGTTCTGGTGTCGTGGAGAGCATGACCTGATTCAGGACATGGTCAGTGAGTCGTGTGTAGGCCACCATGTCCTTGATACACTCAGACATCTTCAACATTGACCTGAAGCATAAACAGGCCTCAACTATTAGTTGTGTAACGATACGATATAATATTGTACATTGATACAAGGCCAACAACGCATCAGATTTCAACCAGTGTATTGTAATGCATGTGATAAATGTCAATTTCTGATTGGCTGAGCGCTCTTCCTTTATTTTCAATGTACCCTGCTTACAAGCATGTAACATTTTCTATGTTACCCGCTGGGAATGCCGAACTGTGGGAACTCATTTGGTACTTTGTGTTAGTAATTCTTTTTCTCGAAAAATTGAGTTAAGTATGACGTATGGAAACTGCAGATGTTTTGTGAATGTAAATAGATGAAAGGGAGACAACTCTAAATTTGTTTCTCTTGTCGTCTGTCATCGGTATTGGCTAATTGCCTAACTCTGGTACTCCTTATTACGATCCGATACGCATGCCTCAAACAGTTCAAAATTAACATAGAGGTGTTCGGTAAGATAAATACATTGTTCACTGGTCCCTCGGGGCCAATGGGTTGATGTACCCTTGATGTTTCTTTACACATAACATAAACAAACATAGAGGGTACATCAACCCATATCCCCTTCGTGACCAGTGAACAACTTATATTATCTTGCCTCACACATAAATGTCGTTTTCTGATTGGCTGAGTGCTCTTCTATTATTTTCTAAGTACCCCGCTTACAAGCGAGTAACATTTTCTATGTACCCAGCTGGGAATGCTGAACTCATTTGGTACTTCGTAGTAGTAATACTTTATCTCGAATAACATTGAATCGCGTATGATGTACAGAAATTACCGATGTTTTGCGAATGCGAATCGATGGAAGGGAGATAAATTTGTTTTTTTACTTGTCGTCATGTACTCTATACTATGATCCAATACCTGTGCTTCAAACAGTTCAAAATTACCACTGAAGTGTTCGGTAAGATACAGTACAACCAGAAATTATTGAGAATTTAAAGAATGTAAATTTTTCATTTTTTTCACTCATTACTCACGTATGTGAATATTAGCAGAACATAACTCCAGATTCAAGACAGGTGAAAAGTTAGTATTTTGTCAAGTCACCATGGGCAGCAATGCAGGCTTCAATGTGGCGGGGCATACTACTGATCAAAGAAGTTTGAAAGTCGTGGTCCATGCTGTCCCAATAGCGGACCACCTCTTCTTTCATTTCAGCAATATTTGTCAGATTTTTCTTATTGACACTTTCCTTCATAAGTCCCCAAACATTTTCTATTGGATTTAGGTCAGGGCTACAGCTTGGCCAATCTAATAATGTCATATTTTGGGTCCGAAACCAGGACTGTGAATGCTTTGAACAATGTTTGTCCTGCTGGAAAATCCAAACATTTCCATAGAACATGTGAGCAGATGGAAGTAAATGTCCCTCGAGAATATCTGTGTACCGCTCACTGTTCATTATTCCATTCAAAATACACAGAGGCGTTGCCCCTAACACATATATGCCACCCCACACGTTGAAATTTAGGACTGTACTTTGGGCTGATGCAAAGGTTTTTCAGTTTGTTTGGTCCAGAATTTCAGTGTATTAGGAAACAGCCACACAGAACTTGCATCTGAGAAAATCACATTGTTCCAGTTAAAATTTCTATTCTGTAAGCACCAGTTCAAACCTTCGGCTCCTTTTGTTCAGGTTTCATGATCGGTGATGGAATTCCTCGACTTTTCTGCCAACCCATTGCATGTAGCTCAGTTCTAATTGTCTCCTTACAGACAGCCACAGTTCCTCTATCAATCATATCCAGCCTTACGTTTTCTAAACTCCTTCGTTTGTTTTTAGAAACAAGAATACCAAGCCGCCTCCTGTCACCGACAGTCAATTTTCTGGGCCTACCTGCGCCTCCCTGGTGCTCAATGCCATATCTATTTGCAATATTTTTCAAAACACAATAAACAGTGGACAAAGGGATGCCTGTTCTAGTTGAAATCACTTTAGCTGATCTGGTGTCCTTGTTATAATACTCTAAAATCAACTTCCTCTTCTCTAAATCATCCATACTGAGGATCACTGAAAATGTCATCTGCTAGCAAGTAAACAAAGGGGGATAACTCTTCACAAACTAGTGAAAAAGGATTAACAGAGTTGTCTCTCTTGAATGAAACCAAGCACTTGATAGCTGGTCAAGGTTGTTTATACTAGAAATCCAAGTAAACATATTCCTAAAATTCTCAATAATTTCTGGTCATACTATAAATACGTTACATCAACCCATGGGCCCTCAGGGACCAGTGAACAACTGATAATATTCCATACACCGAGTAAATGTTGATGATGCTACATTCTTATTATTACCCCGATCAATGGGTCAATGCACACTCAGTTATGATTCTCAGCTTCCTGAGGAGTATGCCACCCAAGTTGCCAGTGAGGCGCTGGATCTTACCAGGCACAAGACCATTTCATGCTACAAGGTACCAAAGCTGCTAGACGGCGGAAGTGTAATCATGAACAAGTCACTTGATCCCATAGGCACATGCTACAGGTACAGCTGAACAAACAGTCACTTACTGAAGCTGGAAGTTAAATATCTCACCCATTTCTCCCTGGTATCTTGATATGATCATCAGCTTTGATCAGCGCTTCCACTATCCTGCAACAAGAATCAGTGCCACAAGACATGATAGCGGGAGGTGGATTCTGTAACCTAGAAACTGAGGGGATTGCCGTCACTATTCATATTATAAATGTCAAACCAAAAAAGAACACCTTGCATCACCAGTCATGTAAAACAAATGATTTTTTCTTGAGTGAGTGAGTGAGTTAAAATTTAAAGTCACATCGACAATATTTCAGCCATATCGTGACTGATTTTTTCTTGAGGGAGGGGAGTTATTACCAGAGAATGCATATAGACATACATGTATATCATGATAGAAATAGACAGAATATTGATTCTGGGTTTGGAGGTATATTTTCCATAACAAAATATGACACAAAAATAATATTTAAAATAGATAAAGTAACAATGGAAAAATGAATCAACACAATTAATGTTTGTGAGTCATAAGAATCATAGTCATAAACACTACATAAGGTTGTTGTCTTTTAAAAGCACTCAGGGGTGGTGGGGTAGCCTAGTGGATAAGGCGTTCGCTCATCATGCTGAAGACCCCTGTTCGATTCCCCACATGGGTACAATGCATGAAGCCCAATTCTGGTGTCATCCTTCATGATATTGCTGGAATATTGCTAAAAGCAGCGTAAAAATGTACTCACTCACTCACATTAAGCAGCCAAACACACACTTCTCTCTCCACAAATCTCTCCCTCTTTCTGAATGAATCATGCTGTCACGATGACACACAATGAACCAAGTCACCAAGCCCTATGACTTCATCCATTTGATTCCACTTTACAACACCAGCACAAACTGCTGGCGACCTAGCCTAACCTGGTAACTCCAAGAGGTATTGTGGGATGGGGTTAGCATCATGGTATTAATGATTGTACACAAACGATGTGATCAATGATGAAGGAATCAAAGTGCTAGGATCCTCAAGGGTGAAACTTTGTTCCAACATGTAACTTGATTTAGTTCTGGAATGGTTAGGATTAAGGTAGTGTATTGGGGGATATGTGTTTAAATGCAGTACTCACATGGCCTCCACAATCTTGTTGCCACGATGTTGGTACGCCCGACGATGCAGCGAGCTCCTTGTGTGGAACATATCATACAGCGAACCTGCTTCCTGGAGATCACAATTACTGCAGTCAATAAATCTGTTAGAATATTGGGATTTCTTAAGGAAGTTCTGATAAAAACAACCATGGAATTCGAAAAATAACATAAAAATTCATAAACTGGATTGAGATTGCCTGGCAAAATTAGACCTGAGTTGACAAATTAACGGATAGCAAAAATCAACACAAAATCAAGTATTCAAAAGAGAAGTATTATGAATCATTGCTGAGAGATGTGCATGGTGTACTGAACACATCCTCATGGAGACAAGAATAGGGTACTTTAGACCAAATTGGCACAAGAAACTATAAGGGAAGGCAAGTAAGACTGACTGAGTGAGTTTGGTTTTACGCCGCTTTTAGCAATATTCCAGCAATATCACGGCTGGGGACCCGAGAAATGGGCTTCACTCATTGTACCCATGTGGGGATTCGAACTCGGGTCTTCGGCATGACGAGCCAACGCTTTAACCACTAGACTATCCCACCGCCCAGGCAAGTAAGAGGTATGAAAGACTTATTTCAAATGCGAATACTATTGGGACGACCAAATTTTTGGTGGTGCTTGTCAAAGCATGGTGTAATGATGTCATTCTATTATTCTGCCCTACATACCAACAATGGATACAAATGTGCTTTGATTTCTATAGTGATAGGAAAATCTATAGGTGTAACAATATGGTAATGCAGTATTGTATTGTGATACAAGGTTCATGATACATTACATTGTTACGGTTTTACAACTCCTGTACCCCATACATGCAATTCATGACATTACAAGTTATATTGTTGTAAAAAACATGAATAAAACCAGGAACTCTTCAAGAACAACTAGACAGACCATGCGCCCGGCAGGCAGCAGGTTTAACCAGCTCTCTGATTTTCATGAAATTACTGAAGCATATTACCGCCATCACTGTCTGATCTGTCACAGAGCTGTGGAGTTCAAATTGTTTATTGTGAGTTTCTACTCACTAGCCACTTGACTGCTGCAGAGACAATAGGTATGACCAGCCGAGCAATCAGTACAGGCAACTGTGTTGCACAAGAAACAATGGAGCAACAATCAGCTCAGCTTCATACATGTTACAACAGGGGCGACCTGCTCAGCTTCAACAATGGGAAATCTCACAGAATTCCCAATGATGTAATGTCACTCATCAGAAGCCTTGGGGTAAGTGTAACTAAGCCAACTCAGAGAGGAACAAGGAGTGGAAGGCAGAAACAGAAAACAATCAACTGACTTCAATTATCGCTCACCATGTCACAGCAGAGAGGAATTTTAGATACCTAAGGATGGTTCTGTGGTACGCACAATCCATTAGGAACAAATCTGTGGAAATCTGGATACTAGTATTCTTATCATCACAGAGACTTGGCTGAAGGATACAGGTGATGAATCGAAGATAGCTGAGATGATGCCACCTGGATACGTATTTGTGAGTGTGCCCCGGAACCACACACGTGGAGGTGGGATTGGTATCATGTACAAAGCTAGACTGGATATCAAATTCACAAAAAATTATGAATTCCAAGCAGAATCATTTGAGGTTGTGAGCATGACAATATTTGTTCCAGGACGATTTGTGTGTACCATCCTCCTCCATCAAAAGCAAAATGTGCAAGTGTTTTTGGCTTTATCAACGACTTAACAAACTTCTATCACAACTGCATCACAAATGTGCCATTATCATTGGGGACTTTAATCAATGCTTTATTGTTTTCAAGGCCATATGACCCATAATACATTGTTACATTTTTTGTTCATTAATTGCCAGCATGAGTTTCAAAGATCAAAGATATTCTCCTCTTATGCGAAACACATTATACAGATATTTTCCCAGCATAAACAAGTGGGTACAATCAGTAGATTTTAAATTATCGATATTTTTGGTATGAGTGGATATACATGGAACATCATTACGAAATTCTTTGTACAGAGGACAATGATATATAATGTGACATTCATCTTCGGTAACTTTACAAAGAGAACACATAGAATCTTTATCTTGATAATCACTTAAGTCTTTTCTAATACACTGTATGCCTAATCGGGTTGAAGCAACATCTAAATAAGAGAAGCTTTTATATTTGATATCTTTAACATTGTATATGTACAATTCTGGAGAAAGTGAATGTTTTATAAAGGAGTAGAATTGTAATGACGTTCTATCAGATAGCTCAGAATGCCAATCTTGCCTGGCTGAGTCAATCACTCTTTCTTTAAAAAATATTTAAAACATATCAATATCCCCTACCCCTTGTTGAATCCATACATGGCCAAACCCATAAGTAAATAATAGATGCATTATATTAGTTGCCCAATTAGGACCGTTTTTATTACACAATTGTTTCATCATAAGATACGATTGGTGAGGATATCTATATGACGGCATGGTGATTAATTTCAGCCAATATCTTATACAATTCTTGTATGATTTCACATATAATGGATATCTCCCACACTCACCATACAAAGCAGCATTAGGAAATGACTTACTAACATTTAATAAATATCTGCAAAATGATCGGTGAACAATTTCTAGCTGCTTCATTTCCTTTGAATCCCCATATTTCGCTACCATACATTAAAATCGGTACAATTTTCGTGATCGAATATCTTAAAGGCATCTGTAATATCTATATTATATTTCATGTAATAAGACATTTCAAAGGGAATAAGGCTTTGTTTGCTTGTTATGATAAAACGGTACAGGCTCTTGTCCATACAAGCTTAGGGGTCATCATGATACCCAAATATTTATATGCATTAACTACTTCTATTTGTTCATCATTATAAGTCCACTTTTCATATCGCGGATAATGGTCCCCGTTTCTGAAGACAATCACTTTTGTTTTGTCGAGATTGATCTCCATGCCCCATTTCAAACAATAATTATGTAGGAAATCTAGCTGTTTTGCAACTTCAGAGGGGTATCAGCCACTAATACTAGATCATCTGCAAATAGTAATGATAACACATTATACATTTCCTCTGATATAAATACACCATTGTCAAAGTTTGACTCATTGTTTCGAGAGTTCCTTGATAAATATCGAAAACAACAGGGGGCTAAGAGCACAACCTTGTCTAACTCCTGTAGAGCAAACAAAATAATCAGATAATTTATTTCCACCAATAACAACTGCAGACTTCACCTTATTGTACAAATCTTTGAGAATATTAAATATATTTCCATGTATACCATTATTTAAAAGGAGAAATAAAAGCTTTGTCTATTAACCATATCGAAAGCCTTTTTGAAATCAACGTATGCACAGTAAAACCTTCCTTGTTTTCTTGTTGTATACTTTTGGATAATAGATTGCAGGATAAAATGTTATCTATTGTCGAATGGAGTTTTCTGAAACCACCCTGATATTCTCCGATAAGGCAATTACTCTCAATGTAATCATCTATTCAGCCTGTTAATTATATTTGTAAACAGCTTGCTCATAGTATTAAGCAAGGAAATGCCTCTATAGTTGTTAGGTTCAATTAGGATTACCCTTCTTATAAATAGGCATTATTATTGCAGTACTCCAAGCTTCAGGAACTCCCTTTATCTAGAATGCGATTAAAGAGAAGAACAAGATATGGGGAAATAAATTCTTTAATAATCTTGAAAAATTCTGATGGTATTCCATCATTACCCGGCGCTTTATTTGGTTTCGATCTATCTATTGCTGCCTCTACTTCACATATAGTTATAACATCTGATAGATCATTGTCACCACATTTGCTACAATTATGACAATCATGTTCATTAACAAAAGTTTCAATATAGTCATCAAACACACTGTCGCCATTCATGTTTAACATAGGGTTCAATAAATCTTTAAAATACCTAATGCCACATTTCTGCAGATATATTACAGTTATTATTTGATTTAGGTGAATATTTCTTAACAAGACTCCAAAAGCTTTTATAATCATTACTCTTGGATGCTTCAGTTAACGCTTTTGGAGACACTTTCACAAAATAACCTTTGTTTCCTTTTACACAGCTGTTTAAACCCTTTTCTGCTTTGATCATATACACTAAAAGTAGCTGTAGATGGATATTGTCTAAGATGATCTAAATATTTATATTTGGTTTTCTTAGCCAACTGACATTCTAAATCAAACCACTCTGGCTGTTTTCTTTTATGATTCTTACTTCTTGTAAGCATAGACTTTCCACTGTAGTGTAGTATATCTACCAGACTACCTGCAGCTCTCTCAATGTCATCATTAGAGACATATTCCATAAACTTACTGAGACTATTACATGAATAATCTGATTTAAAATTATCAGTAAATTCTTCTCTATATTCACCTTTCCATCTATAAAATAACCTGTCAGCATATTGTGGTACAGTAGACCACACCCTCACATCTCTCTCACTGAAAAGGTTAATGGTCAGTGTTAGAGGGAGATGGTCTGACTCGCCTAAGTGATATAACGCTAAAATCAGTCACAGTTGGGTACAAGCAAGATGACACGATATGTAGTCAGGAGTACTGAATCCATTTGGACCAATATAGGTAAAGTCACCAGACGCATTAGACCATCTTCCATTTAGTATATTGATATTAAATAGTCTGCATAAGTCTAAAAACTGCTTCCCATAATTATTGACAACATTGTCCTTGTTAACACGGGTGGAGGGGGTGTTGAGGTGGCATCGTACATAAAATCTTCAAGAGGCAGGAAGTCGATACTGTCATCTTCGATATGATCCAGCTCGCTACCAGTTCTGGCGCTTAAATCACCACATAGCAAGATGTCACTGTCTGGATAGTCAGTCTTGAGGTCAGCCAGACGAGCTCCAAGAGTCTCTATTCCATCACAGTAGTCGCCGTTTCTGGCTAAATGTAGATGAACAGCAGTATCACTACAGAATTATTTATGTTAGGTATTTTACTGATAAACAAACACAGTCGCCCAGTGGGGCTTGACTCTAGAAAATAGATCACTTAGTGTGCCTGAAAGGGTATACAGCTTTTACACCACCACTATACCTTCCAAAGTGTTTTACTTTAGGGCTGCACCGACTGAGAAAACATTTATATGATATAAACGCATTTACAAAATCCTCAGTGTTCTTTGCCCAAGTTTCTAATAAACATATGATATCTAATTTATTTAAGAAGGTAATGAAATCAGGGTTACTTAACTTATTATGTAACCCATTGACGCTCCATGATACCAGGGAAGTACAGGACGATCAGTTGTTTGGTTCTTAGGGTTTGGAAATTGAGGTGAAACGTCGTAATATCATCTTGAGGTTCAGGGTCAAGGCCGCTGTCCCATTTGCTGGTAACGGGTCCCGAGGGTGGGTCTGGAGGCACCTCTACACCGCTATGTTACGGTTAACGCCATCGTACCTGTATGTCACCTTCTCAATGACCAGTTTATCCTCAACTAGGTGCAGCCTTCCCTTCCTCTCTCGCTTGTACCATGAAAGGGATTAAAGTTTTCTTATAGCACGAAAGCGATGACTGAAATCTTGTGAGACTCTGTGTGTTTTACTGCCTTTAAGACATGTCCTAGCTGCAGCAAGAACAGTGTCTTTATCGCCTCGACTTACAAACTTTGCTATGATTGGTGCCGGTGAAGTTTTAGTTTTAAGTCTATGGACGGTGTCTAACATTATAGAAGAAGCGCCTGGTATCTCAAGTGTATCCGATATGAAATCTCGAATATGGATCTGAGAGTCAGTAGGAGACTCCTTGGCTTCACCTGGAATACCAAAAATAGAAGGTTGTTTCTTCGGGAATATGATTCAGACCTGTCTACCATGTCTTCTAGTGTCTGTATCCGGCATTGATCCTCAACAAGTTTTCTGAGGTCTATGCCATCACTTTTGACCTCAGCAACATCTTCTTCTATTTTCCCTAGATCTAATATCCATTTTCTTAGAAAGTTCGGTCATTTCAGTCTTCATACTGGAAACATTTTTGTTTAATTCAGCAATTTGTTTTGTAAGTTCGATAGAGCATTAGTTGTAGCAGTGGTTGCGTTATTTAAATCATCAGTGTCGCATGGGTTGGTGAGTGTAGTTTGACGTGTTTTACGTCCGCCAATTGGACCAGGATTACTTTCGGCGTCGCCGTCCCTAAGTAGAGTATTTGTAAACACAACGTCACCCAGAAAGGTAGGTCACTGGGACGACATTAGGACAAGTCATGCTCGGCGTGCAGTGAGTGAAGCACATGATATCCGGATTGCATATTGATGGAAAAGGTACAAAATGGTTCTGAAATCTGTCTATAAACTCACCAATATGTCCTGAATAGTTGTTTCCAGCGACTGCAAGCGCTAATATCACCGTGAGCACAACCGAAACAGAATATATCCTGTAAGCGAAGTTCATGCCGGGAGTCCATGTTGTGGAGTCACAATAGTCCACGTCGATGTGACAGACTTGTTTATGTCCAGACGGGGTGGAAAAACACCCGATTTTGCATCTCCATACCTCAGTCGTTATCCCCATGATTTCCGATGTACACTGCCTTATTATTGCCGTTGGATGTGTCCTTTGACGTTGGATTTTGTTGAAAGTTAAGAGAGGCAAAATATCATGACTGTATTTTCTCACGCATGCGCATTTCATCCACTATGATTCACATGATAAGCCAGACTTGAAACGTGTCATGAAGCTCTGTAAAACACATGAGCTAGTACAATGTCTGCATAGTACCACGCACAGGTGTGGACATATCATTGACTAGGTTCTTACTACGGAGAATTCATCATTGATACAGAGAATTCAAGTAGATGATGTGTCGTTGTCTGACCACTCTCCTGTAACAATCGAACTAAACCTTAAGAGGCCTAAAGCACAAACAGAACTAATCTCCTGTAGGAATACTTGGAAGATAGACAAGAATGTCTTCCGTCAAGATCTAGAAGAGTCAAATCTTGTACACTGACCTGGACGGTTGTGTGATCGTTACAATAAAACTCTATCGCCTTTGCTTGAAAAGCACGCTCCAGTCACAGTGAAACAGATTTCAGTTAGGAAATCATCTCCATGGTACGGTGACGAGATTCTTCAGGCAAAGAGAGCTAGGCCATGCGCAGAAAGGTTGTGGAGGAAACCAAGTTGGAGATTAACAGGCAGATATACTGTTTCGAGAGAAACAATGTCACTAAGGCTATCCGCTTAGCTAAAGCTAGGTATTGCTTGAATAAGATAACAGAATCTGCCACCACCTCTGGTGTACTTTATGACTTTCTATTTTCTTTATTGGGCAAGACCAAGGATAGTACACTCCCAAAGTCAGAGGATTCAATGGCTTTGGCAAACACTTTCAGTCATTATTTTGTTGAGAAAATAGAGAAGATTGGGACATTTCTAGACTCGCAGTCATGTGTTACACCTGAATTATCACAGAAATTCCAAGGTAAACATATTGCCTCTTTCAAATTATTCACAGATGCTGAGATTTTACATATCATCAAAACCTCTAAACCCACAACTTGTGCACTGGATCCTGTTCCCACAAAGCTGATTTTTTACAATATTGATATTCTTTTGCCTGTCATGACCAGACTGGTTAATCTCAGCTTGTCAACTGGCAGTGTACCAACGGCCTTCAAGGAAGCGGTTGTCAAGCCCTTACTGAAGAAATCGAACTTGGATAGTGCATCTGTGGAAAACTATAGACCAGTGTCAAATCTCCCATTCTTATCTAAGGTCCTTGAGAAGGCTGTTAAGTGCAGGTTATCTGCTCATCTTCTTCAAAATGACCTCTTTGGCAAGTATCAATCTGCTTATAGAGCTTCCCACAGTAAGGAAACAGCTCTGTTATGTATCATGAATTACCTTCAGAATGCTGCGGACAATGGCCAAGTTGGTCTCCTTGTACTATTAGATTTGTCTGGGGCATTCGATACAATCGACCATTCAACATTGACACACCAGCTTGAATATCAGTTTGGAATAACCGGTGTAGCCCTGGGGTGGTTCACATCATATCTCTCTGATAGATGTCAAACAGTACACATATCCAATGTGTCTTCACAAGGAGAGTTTCTATCTTTCGGTGTACCCCAAGGATCCATGCTTGGTCCTCTCTTGTTCACGTTGTACATCATGGCTCTTGGTGATTCTATCGAGGCTAAGGTGTTGATTATCATGGCTATGCAGACGACATGCAACTTCTGAGAACATTTGCAGTCAGAGACTCCCAGAATGCTATCTCCCATCTAGAGGAGTGTACTATTACCAGCAAGTCATGGCTGACTTGTAACAAACTGAAGATGAATGATGGAAAAACTGAAGCAATCATTTGTTGGAAAAACCAGAAAACACATCCTTTTGTAGACAGGGACATTTCTATTGGTAATGCTAACATACAGTTCTTTTCTGCTGTCAAAAACCTTGGTGTTTTGATTGACTCTGATCTGCAAATGGAGAGCCAGGTTACCAACACTTGCAGAAGCTGCTATCACCATCTTCGCAACATTGTCACATTCGACAAATGCTCTCCAGAGCAGAGGAGCCACTTGTGTCCTTGTACGCTCGTTAGTCCAATCCCGTTTAGACTACTGCAACAGTCTGTATTATGGCTTGCCAGAGAGACTCCTCACAAAGCTGCAGACGGTGCAGAACACTGGTGCAAGGATCATCAGCAGAACAAAGAAGCGTTTTCACATCACGCCTGCCTTGAAGACCTTGCATTGGCTGTCAGTACAAGCAAGAATAGAATTTTAGACTCTCACACTTGCTTATCAATGCTTTCACTCAACTGCGCCAAGTTATCTAACTGACCTACTCTCCAAGCACAGTCCTGTGAGAACATTAAGATCAGGAAATCTCCATCTTCTGGAGATACCAAAACGCCATCTGAAGTCATTTGGCTACCGCTCTTTTAGCTATGCTGCTCCTTTTCTCTGGAACTCTGTTCCCATGATATTAGACTGTCACCAACCCTAGAAAACTTCAAATCTCATTTAAAGACATTCCTTTTCCGAAAATACTATCACTGCTAGATTTCTGCATTCCTACTCATTTTAAATACCGTGTATATACTCATCATAGCGCTTAGAGAAGACACTTAGTGCCTGGAGTATTTTAGCGCTTTATAAATTCACTAATTATTATTAATTATTAATTAGTTTCTGCAGATTGTTTTGTATTTCTTGGTTGGCTGTAAACATCAAAACAGTGCCTCCTGGTTTGTATGTTTCTCCACAACAATTTCCTATCAGGATGCAAAGTTTTCACCCATATTTTCATCACATATAACATCGCTACCTCACAATCTCATTACAGTTCAAACAGAGTCCCTCACACACTCATGTCAGTATTACAAACCTTGTCCCGAGCACAGATCTGCATGACCCCCTCAACAGGGATGACCCGGGAAAACTTCATGAAGCGGTTGTGATCAAAGTTGTTCTTAATGCCCAGCATGTGACAATCTCGAGCAAAGTAATCCCACTTGTCAACATCAATACCATTTCTCTTGTTGGCAACAATCTGGAAAAAAATATACAATTAACAAGTTCAATTATTGCACAGCATAAACCCACACATGAAGACTGTTCTATAATCCCAATTAGGCTGTCTTAATGCGATATTAATATACTGGGAGAAACAAAGAAACACATGAAAATTCAATTGTTCCTTTAATATTTTCCATTTTCCTTACCAGCTTTGAATAGCTCTGTGAGAGGAAATCTGAGAATATATAAAGGCACACTGATATGAAGTGGTGTTCCCTTATTTGTTTCCCTCAGTATATTTATGTCAGAGAATGGGAGTCATAGTTGTCAGAGTTACGATTGCTTTGTGGAATGATGCCTTGTACTGTTACAGCGAAATGAAATTCAGTGGTCAAAAGGTTAAGCAGAGTCATGGTAGTCAAGCTAAAGTGAGTAAGTGAGTGAGTTTTGGTTTTACACCACTTTTAGCAATATTCCAGCAATATCACAGCAGGGGACACCAGAAATGGGCTTCACACATTGTGCCCATGTTGGGAATCGAACCCGGGTCTTCAGTGTGACAAGCAAACGCCTTAACCACTACGCTACCCCACCGCCCCTAGTCGAGCTATAAGGTCACTAATGCAGGCTGAGTGAGTGAGTGAGTGAGAGTGAGAGTGAGAGTGAGAGTGAGTGAGTGAGAGTGTGAGTGAGTGAGTGAGTGAGTGAGTGAGTGAGCGAGCGAGTGATCGAGTGATCGAGCAAGAGAGTTCAGTTTTACGCTGCTCTCAGCAATATTCCAGCTTTATGGCAGCAGTCTGTAAATAATCGAGTCTGGACCAGACCATGTAGGCTGAAGACAACAGCATGAACTAGTTCCACTGCTGGTTCTCATAGCAAACATAGTGCTTTCAGTGTACAGAACACAGCAAAATATGTATCAATCTGTATATCTGTATGCATGTGTTCATCTGTAACATATGAATTTCAATAAACATGGAGATATCTCTGCATCTAAGGAGATTGTTTCTGGTCATTAAATTGTATGAGAAACAGCTCTCCTGGTCTTAATTTTGCAAGATCACTGTATACTTCAAAAATATATACTTACTTCATACAGGAATCTTTTTCTTTGGTTCTCCTTGGTAAGGATAAACCTGGAATATCATGAAATGATACAACAGACATTCTCAAAAAGTCTAAAATATAGACTTTCAGCATTACAGTGTCGGAAACAGTGTATTTTCATTCCATTATTGGAGTGAGTTGGTGGAGAGGTTTTATCGCTGCTTTTAACATCTTTCAGGGTGTGAGTTTAGTTTTACGCCGCACACAGCAATATTCCAGCTATATGACAGCAGTCTGTGAATAATCGATTCTGGACCAGACAATCCAGTGATCAACATCATGAGCATCGTTCTATGTGATTGGGATACCATGACATGTGTCAACCAAGTCAGCGAGCCTAACGGCCCGATCCCGTTAGTCGCCTCTTACGACAAGCATGGGTTGTTGAAGATCAATTCTAACCCGGATCTTCATGGGTAGAAAGGAAAGCTCAAAGTGGTGCAAGGAGTTATGTTATCACTTTGGTGAAACACATGGTATGAAAAAAATTAGGATCACAATCAGATCTAATTCATCAGTCATACCCAAGAACACTTGATCAAGCATGACAAAAATCAAAATCTGTATAGTGAGTTGCAGCAGTATTACACAGCAGTTCTTAGCTTCAAATATTGCATTATATTCTTTCAAAACTCAACAGTTTGCGTAAGTTCTTCTTCCGGGGGGCCCTTGATTTGTTCCTTGATAAAGATGCGGTCAGTTTCAGTCAAACCAAACTGTGCAAACACAGATTCCAGGCTGTTCTCCTTTACCAAGTGATCAAACATTTCTACAGAAGCGTCTTCATGCTGCAGCAGAAACAATATTTTAGAATATGACAAATTATCAATTTCAGAATGTCACTGCTCAAATGGAACTGATTATGAAGATGGCTAAAATGAAATTGAAATAATAAGTATCAAAGGTAATCTCAATATCACAGCGGGGGACACCAGAAATGGGCTTCACACATTGTCACCATGTGGGGAATCAAACCCCGGTCTTCAGTGTGACGACTGAACACTTTAACTACTAGGCTACCCCACCGCCCCTTGAGTCATAAAGATCTAATCTTATCTTACTTAAACACTTAGTCAATAGCATTTCATCACCCCGTAACAACTAAACCAGTGAAATCTCACCCAGCAACAACTGAAGCAAAGAAATCTCACCAAGTGACAACTGAAGCAAGGAAATTTCACCCAGTAACAACTTAAACACTACAATTTCACCCAGTAAAAACTAAAGCAAGGAAATCTCACCCAGTAACAACTGAAGCAAGGAAACCTCACCTAGTAACAACTGAAGCAAGGAAATTTCACCCAGTAACAACTAAAACACTACAATTTCACCCAGTAACAACTAAAGCAAGGAAATCTCACACAGTAACAACTGAAGCAAGGAAATCTCACACAGTAACAACTGAAGCAAGGAAATCTCACACAGTAACAACTAAAGCAAGGAAATCTCACACAGTAACAACTGAAGGAAGGAAATCTCACACAGTAACAACTGAAGCAAGGAAATCTCACACAGTAACAACTGAAGCATGTAATTTTCTGACTAAAAGTGATATTTTATACTTATCCTGACTCATGCTAATTATGCTTGTCTCCTTCCTTTTGCGAATGATAGTGGAACACTTGAAATCCCTTGAAGATCCCTTCAAAAAAAGCGGACGTAAAAATCACTCATCGACGAGTAGTCTCCCTTTCCTCCCTTTTTGCTCCCTTTTTGGTCACATGACCAGCCATGTTTGTCACTCTCTCCGTATGTAAGCCCGACACCCGGATGTACAGGAAAATCCAGAGTGCCATAAGAGGGGAGGTTGGGAGGGCTAACCTCATGAGTCAGGATAATTATAAAATATCAATTTTAGTCAGAAAATTACATATTTTTCCTTATCCTGACTCATGCTAATTATGCTTGCAGAATCCGTCGGAAACGGTGGGGGGTCAGGCCACGTTCTGGATTCACTGGTTGTTGATTTACGTCCTGTATTACCCCCCATGGGAACTAATGACGGCACTGTAGAAGATTCTGTTCTTTCAACTTCTCTCTGATGAGTCTGGGGAGGATTCTCAACTTGTCAGATTTGTTCCGAAACTTCTCCTGACATTTTCGTGTGGATTTAAGATATACCCTTGTGTCATGTAAGTTCGATCACTTAAGAACTGTCGCTGAATTTTCAAAGTTATATTCATATAATCTATTTTCAAATCTCTTACCTCTAAACTTGTTTATTTATGTCAAACATTTCCAAAATCCAGGTATTTTTACTGCTTTTCACAATCGCGGCATGGCCGCCCTCTCACTGTCAACACAAGTGACCCAGAAAGCTACGTCACATAAGTTCGATCATATGATTGGCTAGCTTGTCGCGTAAACAGGATGACTTGTAAGGACGATCTCTTGTGTCAAATTCAGAGCTAGAGCAGTCCCAAGTAATTTTATGGTATTTATGTCCATGAAACGTTCATTTTATGTTTCAATACTTCTAAAAACTATGAAAAGTCACAAATATTCAGCTTATATAAAAGTATTATGCAGGGAATTATTCTTCAGGCCCATCGTGACGGGCATCAAACCTCAGAATGTAGACAAACACCACGAACTGGCTGGAAGAAACATAAATGTGTTCTGTGCTGCCATGTAGGATGGGTACATTGTGCCAAGGTTGTATTTATCAATGAGGCAATAGCTCAAACTCCATCATGTACAAATTCACGGAAATTCTCAAAAAGCATTAAGTTTTCTATTATATAAGAAATGGCCCTTACTTGTTTCCAAAGTTTTAAATTTTGACAAGGATATCACGTTTCTGGACATGTGACAATTAGACCAGCAACGTAAACAAACAGAAGACAGGGGTGCTGTCAATTTACAACGTGTGATAAAGTTACATTATTGATCTAGGGTTAAAAAGTAGTTGTTTGCTGAAAATGAGCCATAACTTACATTTGGTAACTTGACACAAAACATTTTCCGGTCCAAACGAATGAAAGTGGTGTCACCAGAAGATCAAAGCTGCAGATATCGTAAGTTATCGCTACGTATTGCGACAATTACCATTCAAAATGGGTGATCGAGGTTACATGACAATCAAACTTGTGTGACTTGACGATACTAATATTCCATGAGTTATCTATTGCAACTCCATCTCTTGATGCGCGCATCAAGTGGAGATGCGACCCTTCTTCATGTACAAGTATGTTCTATACAAGTACAGGGTCTATCATTCATGCTGGTCTGTCCTAGACGTGTGCATGGACTTTATAGCCATTGCTCTCCAGAGCGTTGGTTTTCACAAGTCACGTGAAAAGGGGTGAGATTTACTCAGTGCCTTTGTAGAACCATTAGTTGTTGTGCTACAACAAGTGGCCCAAACTGGTGAATGCCTGAGACGTCTTCAGCGGCAATGCCTCTGAGGTAATGGTTGGCAAACACTGTGTCCGATCTCCAAAAGCAGCCCTCCATTATAGTTGTAATCGAGCAGTTTCCATGCAGAGCAAGTGTTGACGCCAGGACTCTGACTTCGTGTGGGTTGGAGGCTCAAGTCCTGCTGCTTTAAAGGCCCTTAGTATAACGGCTCTCATCCAGATCGATATCGTTGTCCGTGAGACTTCCGTGGGCGTCTCAGTGGATAAGGGGATGAATAGGCGCTTGAATTTTTGTCTCCTTGTTTTAGTTCTCTGAAGGTAGACTTTAAGTGCTCTGACTGGGCATAAGGATAGATCCTGCGTATCCTGTGGCCCAAGGACTGTTGACAGTGCTGGGATGTGGAACTGTCTGTCAGGCTGGCCAGGCAGTTGGTTCTTGGCGATAAATCCCATCTCAGTCCAAGATGTACGATGTCATGATGTCTTGATTCAAATCGTGTTCGTTCAAAGTCCAGAGCATGTATTTCTGACATCCGTGACGCTGTTGCTAGGACGATCAATAACAGCGTTTTCTGAGGTAGTAGTTCAAAGGATGTCCGTGCTAGAGGCTCGTAGGCATCACTGGTGAGATGTTGTAGAACTATGTTGAGGAGCCTTAAATTTCTTTTGTTGGTCTTCCCACTTGAACGATTGAGTAGTGCCAGAATCTCTGGTACTTTTGTCAGCTTGATACCCGTTTTCATGGTGATAACTATACTGAGGGCAGCCAAGTACGTTGAGATGTTGAACCTTTTAAGTGTCTCGTCTGTCGAAGATGACATAAGTATTCTGCCACTTGAGGATGTGTTGCTTTCACCGCTGTAAAGCCTTTCCTCTTTGCATACTGTTCAAATCTCTGCCACTTGTCGTCGTACTAGTTGCAAGTTGATCTGCGTAGAGCTACTGTAACTGCTTTCGCTGCTCTGGCAGAGTACCCTCTGGTCTTCAGGCAAGCTTTAGTACGCTCCACGCGTGTAGCTGGAACAGTGTCGGGTTCCCGTGAGCTTGCTTGGTGTGTGGATGGACGAGTAGGTTCGACCACTCTGGTAGTTTCAGGGTTGGACTTCCAAGTTCTTGTATGAGGACGGGAAACCATACCCTCGCTGGCCAATAGGGTGCGACCAAAATCAGTTGCAACGTAGTCGTCTGCTTGATTTTCTGTGGTACTTGTGGTAGCAGTGCAGGGGGTGGAAACGTGTAAGCGTTTAGTCCTTCCCATGAGATGCTTAGAGCGTCTGTTGCCCATGCCTGAGGATCTGGAATCGGTGACACGAATGTTGGTAGCTGTTTGTTGAACTTTGTTGCAAACAGGTCTATTAGTGGGGATCCTATAGTCTGTATGATGAACTGGAATGCTTCTGGATGCAACATCCATTCCGTTGGGGATGGTTGTAGTGGATGAGACAGGGCGTCTGCTATGACATTCCTTGCTCCCGGAATGTGGCATGCCTTCATGTAGATGTTCAGGTCGTCGACTATGCTGAACAGGAGAAAGCTGAGTTGTATCAGACTTGTTGATCTTGTTGACCCTTGTTTGTTGATGTAAAACGCCACTGTGGAGTTGTCTGTGTGTACCAAGAGTCGTGCGTTCTTTGGTATGCTGGACCAATGTTATAAAGCGTTGATTACTGCTTTCATCTCCAACAGATTGATGTGTGACTTCTGATCCTGACTTGACCACTTCCCTGCTGCCACTTCGTTGTTGAAGTGCGCACCCCATCCTTGTATGGAGGCATCCACATAGAGAGGAGTGTTGCAAACCGGCTCTGTCAAAAAGGTTCCTACACAAACATTCGACTTCCGAGTCCATCATAGGAGATATTGTTTCAGGCTGTCCGGTAGTATTAACGGATCTAGGCTGTCTGGAAGGGCGTTCTTAAATACTTGTAGTGGGCGCAACTGTAGTCTCCCTCTGCGAGTCATGTCTTGAGCTGAAGTGAGTAGACCGAGCATGCTTTGCCAAGCACGTAGTGTCAATGGAGAGAGCATTGCTTGAGATATCATCTGTTGTATCTTGACCCAACAATCCTCTGGAACGACTATGCGATTCACTGGTGTGATGAGTCGAATTCCTAGAAATTGCAGATCTTGTTTCGGCTCCAGTTCCGACTTGAGGAGATTTACCAGCCATCCTAGTTGAGTGAGCAGCCTGATGGTGAAATCTAGTTGCAGTCTGAGTTGACTGGGATCTTGATTAGCTTGAATCCCGTCGTCCAGGTAGAAAGCACTGCGTAGACCACGACGATGTAGATATGTGACGATGGGCTTGGTCACTCGAGTAAACAACCAGGGGGCCGACGATATTCCAAACGGTAGAACCTTCCACTGGAAGTGATGTCCGTTGAAAAGGAATCTTAGGTATTTCCTTGAGTCTGGATGTATCGGGATGTGGAGGTACGCATCTTGTAGATCTATGCTGGCGAGGTAGTCTTCGGGACGAATGAGATGTCGGAGCTGAGGAAGACGTATCATCTTGAATTTTGCTGGTCTGCGTAGATACTCCCAGTTGAACTTCCTCATGTTGTAGATGAGCGGAAATTTCTCCTTGGAATTCTTCTTCGGTACCAGGAAAATTGGGGAGTAGAACCCGGGCCTGATGAGATCTTGATCTATCTCTTCTACTGCCTCCTTGTCAAGTAGGATCTTGATAGCGTCATCCAGTTTCTCTATCTGGTCGGCTGCATAGTTGAAGGCCATCGGATTGCTTGTGAGCTGCGGGTTGGCCTCCAACTGTATCTTGTACCCTCTGCGTAGTATCTGGGACACGTAGTCGTCTTGTAGGATTCCCCAATTTTCCCAGTATCGTTGAAGACGTCCACCCACTGTCGAAGGTTGTACAGGAACGGCTTTGGGTGGAAGACTCCAGTCGTTCCGAACCTGGCCTTCAGCGCTTGATTCCTCCTGCACCCCTAGGTGCTCGGCCTCTTCCAGGGTTACCTCTACGAGCTCAGGTTGGGCGACGAAAGGAGCCTCTTCCTCCTTTCATGCTGGAATTCTTCTTTTCTCTGGCTCTCTGGACTCCTGCAAACTTGGATTTGTTGGAGTAGAGTTGGGATGTCTGACGAATCACATTAGCCAAGGTGTCGATGGATTTAATCATCATAACCTCCCTTGAGTCATGAGAAATTTCTCTGGCGACTTCAATTCTTCCTCCGAAGATGTAAGATGCTGAGCATGGGGCTCTGTATAAGGACTTGGTGAAGCGTTCACTCCAAGTGCATGCTGACAATAATCCTTGTCTTTTCAGGAGAGTCAGGCCCGCTGATGTGGATGCTAGGTGCTCCGACATAAACTGATGGTCCCTCTTCTGCATTAGTAGAGCGGAGTATATCATCTGGTCTTCTTCGGCGAAGGAGTTCTTGAACTTCGAGATGAGTGTTTCGTTGATAGCCCTCGATCTGGCTAATCCGAAGAAGGTGCGTCTGGTGGTTGTATCCAGCCTGGCTAACTTCTTATCCTCAATCTTGTAAGTTCTCTGACGGGAGTCGGTGATAATCTTGTAGTCATCATCAACCTCTGGAGCCTTCAGGAAGGGTTCCATCCTATGTAGAGGGAATTTCCTGGCGTTGAGGTTATCTGGTACTTGAGAGATCGAGTCGATCGGTGGAAAAGTGAGCATGTCGAAATCATCGTTGGACATCTTGTAGGTAAACGCCTCATCTGTGTCCTTAGAAGGTGATGCTAAGTCCAAGCCATTGTGATCCAGGAGTTAACTTCCGTATCAGAGAATATGCCTTCACCTTCCTCCTCTGATTTGGACATCTCTCGCTCTATGGATCCACGACGACTCGAGTCTCTATGGGATGATCTGTATGATGAGCTTCGTGAGGCGAGCGATCCCGATGCGATTGTGTATCCTTCCTGGAGGTTTGAGATGATTCTCTAGGTCTTCGTGAAGGTGGGTTTCTGGACGTAGCTTCCCCTCTGTAGGAGTGCCTTCGCGAAGGTTCTCGAGGGGCGTCAGAGTCCGATGGTGATGAAGATTCATATCTGCGACGTCTGTGGGGTTCAGGAGAACGCCTCGATTTCTTCCTGCGTGGAGACTTCTTAGCAGCAATCTCTGGAGCGTCTACGGCTGAACTGATGTTGGTAGCGGTGTCCAGACTCCTCACTTCAGATGGGGAAGATCGTCGAGTCCATGAGCCTTCGCGCAGGCTTCCCTCTTCATCCGGATGCGGTGGAGAGATTGTAGAACCTTCACGCAGGCTAGTAGTCGCTGTAGAGGTCTTCATAGCAGCCTTCTCCTGAGCGGCTTAACGCTTCATCAACATCATCTGGTCTGTAAACTGTTGCATGAACAGTCCCGGTTGAAGTTCTGCGCTGTCTGAAGAGACTGCTGCAGGGATGATGCATCTGATACTGAAGAGACGCCATCTAAGGCTGGCTGCACTTGTGAAGAGTTGACGCTGCTGCTATCTCTGGTACCCGATGTCTGCGTTGATAGAAGGTCTGCTGTCAATGTCTGCGCTGATAACGATGCCGATGTAGCTGTAGAGGCAGACTTCGCTCTTCTTACTGACAATGGTGACTTCAGGTATGAGGATGGGTGGATCATCATAAACGCCTGCTTCTTCCGGAGGAAAAATCTCGCTGAGAAAGACCTCGCGTCTTCTGCGGAGCTGAGCATAGACTTCAATGAAGTCTTCATGGTAGTAGCCTTCTTCTTCATGCGTAGAAGACGATTTAGCCTTCTTCATCTGCGGCGAGGTCAGCTCAGTAGACGATGATCTCTTATAGCCTCCGGGCGCTCACCACTGGTACAGCGACCTGCTCCTGAGAAACATTCGCAATTCACTGGAATTATGAATATCTGCAGCAGTGGTTAACACACGGTTATCAGCTAATCACTCGATTTAGACATGACTTGTGGATACCTTCGCACCCAGTCCTTAGCACGTCTATGGATGGACAAAAAGGTAATTAGTAAATTCAACAGAGGTTAAATTTACACAAAACTTACAGCAAGAGCTGAAAGAACATGAAATAGTGCAATTAGGACATAATAAATGAGGGTACCTACAACGAATACAGGTTTTCATCAAATGTAAACACAATGAAAACACATGTCAAACAACGGAAAATTTAGATCAAATTTCAAACCATAATGTAGACTATAATCCTAAAAAACGTATACAGCAATAATTTTGGTCCGAAAATATAAAAGGATATGTGCCGTATAGGGACCCAGGTGCTCTCACAACCGTCCTCAAGGGCGAAGAAGGAGCGAGTGACAAACATGGCTGGTCATGTGACCAAAAAGGGCGCCAAAAGGGAGGAAAGGGAGACTACTCGTGGGTGAGTGATTTTACGTCCGCTTTTTTAGAAGGGAACTTCAAGGGATTTCAAGTGTTCCACTATCATTCGCAAGAGGAAGGAGACAAGCATAATTAGCATGAGTCAGGATAAGGAAAAATAAGGAAATCTCACCCAGCAACAATTGAAGCAAGGAAATCTCACCCAGTAGCAACAGAAGCAAGAAGATTTCGCCCAGTAACAACTGAAGCAAGGAAATTTCACCCAGAGACAACGAACATTGACATTTCACCCAGTAACAACTAAATCAACGAAATGAGTGAGTGAGTGTTCCTAATCACATTGTCAACATTTCAGACATACCGTGACTAACATAAAGTTTTACATTAAGGAACACGACATAGACAAGTACAGGAAGGCAGGTCATAGAACATCAGGTACTACTTACCTTCCAAACTGCTCCTGACACTAGACGAATAAAATCCCGATCAAAGAGATGTGAGAAGGGACCATGTCCTAGAAGAAACAGCAAAATAAATATATTCAAATACCATCATTGATATTAAATAAAAACATGAACCATAAGACCCAGCATAGCGAAACCACATATGCTTTCCCTGTCAACTAATCATTAACCATTATGCAGGGTTGTCAACTGACACAGAATCTTGCCACAACCTGAAACAATTTTGGGACAGGGAAGAGATTAAATACCTGTAAATGTCTTAATACTAAAATTGATGCAAAGATGTTGTGGTGAAAACGTAGTGCACCCCTATTGAGATAACTTTGTTTACAAATTATTTTGGTTGAAAACAAATAAAAAAAACATTCTAAAATAGGCAATTCGATACACATGGTCTTAAAGTTACAACTTACAGTAATGAAATACACAATGCCATTTTAAAAAGTGGTCAAATGTAACATATGTTACATTTGGGATTACTTTCTTAGTAAAGTACAGATTCTGTACTAGAAGAAACAAAAGTACTAGAATCTGTACTTTACTAAGAAAGTGTAATCCCAAATATAACATATGTAACATACAGTAAGTTGGTTTACCGAGCAACCTTAGACTAAGTACAGTGCTACAAGCTGGTGCATGTGATAAATGCTCCCATTGTTTGAATGTTATTTGGACATGGTGAACTGAGGTTGCATCCAGTCACACACTGTAAGAACCTTTCTGTATCAGCTTCAAACAGACCTAGAATATCACAAGACATGTGCCTGATGTGATTTTGATCATATGTCAGAAGCTTTGGAACCAAATGAGCAGACACTTTCTAAATTGCCAAAATTTCTGTGGTTACTGAAATGCCAACTTAATGAGCAACATAAAGCTTGTGTTTCCCCTCGGCCTTTTTTACCTGGGGTAGCACCCTGTCCTCCCAATTGGGCACCCTGCCCTCCTTTTAATACCATAATTGATATTAACACTTGGTGGTTTTCAGATTCTATTTCAGGCCAGACCAATTTGATTTCTTGTTTTATGGATCCGCCAGTCGTATTTTTTCAAGAATGAGAAAAAAATAAAAAGAAATTTTCCCCACTCAAAAAATAAAATCCTAATGTTTTATTGGCCAAAATGTAAACTTACAAGAAATTTGGTTTTAGATTGTATTTTGCCCCATATACACTTCATAAATTGCCAAAAGTAAAATACTTTAAGTATTTAGAAGGAATATTACTTTAAATGGTGATTTTATTTAAATCTAGATTTTGTCAAGTTCAGGAAATGTGAACCCAAGCTCATTGGGACTATACTTCAATTCAAATATTCAAATGTGGTTATTTGTTTTTATCAAAATAACATATTTTCAGGGACATAAATTCCTTCTATGTGAATCTCTGAGCTCACTGGGACTATTCTTCAATTCAGATGCAGTTATTTGTTTTTACCAATATAACATGTTTTCAGAGACAAGTGTCAGTGTAAATTCCTTTAACGTGAGGCTTATAATATATCAAGCAACTGTTGTATAACGCATCCTACCGAGATCATGACACAGCCCTGCGATCTCCACGCACAGAATATCCTTGTCAGTGATCATCAGGTCCGGCTGACGTCGCTGCAATGTCCGTGTCAGCTGCCCAGCCAGGTGGCAAACTCTGAAACAGGTTACACAGGTGCAGAGATGCCCATCCTACATGAAACTTTGGAGTAATTGTTCCATTAAAATATCATAATTTCTTTTCAAAAAGAGTGACATTAAAATATTATAATTTCTTTTCAAAAAGAGTGCCATGATGTGGCATTTTCATTAGGCTTTGACTAAAGGAAACAATTGGTCAAAGGTACCCAGATGTGTAAAATTCACCGTGTTACACGCATTAACCTTTTTTCATTAAGATTTGGAATTCTCAAGTTATACTATCGGACATGCAATTAGATCACTGTCTGCATCCACAAAGGTCCTCTGATTAAATTATTTGCGCATCGTAAGACATCCCTTCACCGAGGATGTTGGAACGCGTTTGCGACTGAGCGCCCAGCACGGCCCACACGTACGTTCGAATCGAATCATTCAATCTGCCGACACCGGCATGAGTAAACCCTTTCGAAGTGTCCAGCATGAACATTTTCCAATTGTCCTCGGGTCCCTGCTCAAACCTCCAAACGTGGTAATCCTTGCTGTCGTCGAAAGCCATGTAATCGTCGTTCCACTCATTCGTCGTGACGTAATGATACGACTTGTAACCCCAATCTTTCACCAGCTGTTTGCTGGCTTCGCTAGAGACATGTTTTGATTGATTGGAATGCCCAAACCGTTGTTCGGACCCTGCAAACGCCAATCGACTGTCTTCAGATCTAGTTCGAATTCATTGCAAACGCGTTCGTATGCACATCGATTGTACGGATTGTTTACGGCATTCCACGCCTTGTCCTGCGGAATTGGGGTGCTGATTTTTTTCAAAATACGTCTGAACTGGTAGTACACATGAAACAAGAATACAGACCGACCCAGCGGACCACAACGAGTGTCATTCAACGTCACGCCACACTCCTTCGTCGCGCACCACACGGCAAAATTAAATTGATTCTGCCAGAACTGCATCGGGTTGTGGAACCAAGCATGTACCGTTTTCACATTCGTGACCAAAAACCAATACATTTCAAATAATCTATAAAACGAGCTTGAAAGTGGGAAACATCCTTTGCATCCACCACGATCTTCGGTTGCGTGAAATCATCAGCACTTATATTTTCACTTTTAGAATAAAACACTCCCGGTTTGTACATATTTTGAATTGTTATATTTTTTATTATTCATATCTACTTTTTCAATATGTATGTGACGCTTCCAGGAATCACAAGTGGCAAGTCATTTCAACTGCTGCACAAGATTGATAGCATGTCCGGTCAGCTCGAAGTCGCGCTCTGCGATATCACCTACTACCCACGATGGACCAACATCAACGGCAAAAACAACAAGCTGTTCGTCAATAACGTCCGCAACCAAATAACGGACGGATACTACAGCATGTGCTCGCTCAACGAAGAAACCTTCAAACCCGAAGAAATCTCAAAATGAACGACTCGAACGGCAGGGTCATGTTAGCCAACAACTGAAAAAAACACTTGAGACTCAGAAAGCTGTTGTCTAAAACGCTCGGGTTTACATCGAACAACATACCACCGGAAACCACCATGACAGGCACGAAATTACCCGATCTCGTTCCGTATCGCGAACTGTGCATTCATCTCGATCAGCTGTGCACAACCGACAACGTTCAAGGCGAATGACCTTCCACACAGCTGAGAGCCGTGCCGGTGAAAACGGAAAAGTACAACGACGGCAGAACCAAATCGTTTTCGTTGCGGCATTACAAGAAATTAATCCGAGGCAACATCACGGAATTGAAAATATCGGTTTTAGACGTTAAACACTATCCTGTAAGTATATGATATCTCAGCGTGACGCTACACGTACAAAAACAATGACGGAGTCTCATGGTCCAGGAACACGCGTTAGAAAATGTGCCAACATAGCAATCTCCGACCTCGGTGACACGCGTGTATTCGACGAACCCGGAGTCGATGGCAAACTGTACGCCTTGCAAGTGAAAAACAGCATTTACAAACGCGTCGAACTGCCACCCTCTGCTGGTGGCAAGAACAACGACCTAGACGATTTCGTCAATACTGAAGGAGCGGTCAACAACACTCGGTACGACCTGATACGCAACGATGAGGATGAATGGACGATAACCCCAGCCTTCCGCGGCAGGTTGTTCCACCTGGACGACGTCGAGACCATGGCCGTCTCAAGAAACACACACTACACTCTCATCTTCAACGACGACAACAAATGGGTATTAGTGCCATCCCAAATCGATTGGAATCTAAACATCACGCTTGGCTCTCTTTACGTTTTCACAGACAACAAAGATCACTACCTGACAAAAGTCGTGAACAACGGAACGCTGCTCGTGGCTTACGTCCCAACGCAAAGACGCGGTGTTATCATCAGCGAGCTATCGCAAAAAGTAGCTCACATACTGTCGAGCAAACCCGGGACGCAAAACGTGGGATTGCAGATGGTTTCGGAATTCGACGGCGTGGTAAACATCCTGGAAAATCTGCATCACAGTCGAGGCTTAGTGAGCATTCTTGATGATGTTAACGGTGTGAATATATGAGTAAACACAGTGCACTCAATTTTACCAATGTAATTAGTGAGATGATGTACACAAGTATCAAACAGCTTCATTTACAATGGGGGGTTCGATTCACCACATGGGTACATTGTGTGAAGCCCATGTCTGGTATTGCTGGAATATTTGCTAAAAGCGGCTCACTCACCTAACAGTCATGGTGGTTGTAACAATAGGTAAAGATAGAAAGATTAAAATAGAAAGACAAAAAGGTTAAAAAAAGTAGCAAAACATCCCCGGTAGCCACAATTCCCTTAAGGTGAAGTAGAAAGATGAAGGTTGCGCAACTTCTCCCTAGGGGACTTATGTGACGGCTACCTTTCTCTCACCATGAGAGAGCCCCAATTCAGCTGAGTGCAGCTGATGTGATCCTGATTCCTTGCGACCACCAACGAAACACACGAAAGTTGCAAGGAACCCATTGAGGCAACAGTGGGATACGATCTAACAATGCATACCTGCGCGACTACACATGCTAAATCCGCACCTCAACCGATTGAGCTACCAGGGACTTGATAGTTTACATTTCAGTCTAACAGGTATATCCTGAGATTGCATCATCATCCTAAGCTGGGCTCTGTCTATAGGAACGCAAAGGATGTCTTGAACCCGTTTTATAAGTTGAGCGCACCAGACTTCTAGAAACAGTTTATCACAAATTCTACTTCCGCTTCACAGTTTGGTGGCTTTGTACCTCCAATAAAATACATACACGATACTCCCAAGGAGTTTTAAACAACATGCCTATTGTGTATACTACTAACCTTATCCTATGCCATGTTCATATCAAACCATATTCTATGCCATCTTCATATCAAACCTTATTCTATGCCATGTTCATATCAAACCATATTCTATGCCATCTTCATATCAAACCTTATCCTATGCCATGTTTATATCAAACCTTATCCTATGCCATGTTCATATCAAACAATATTCTATGCCATGTTCATATCATACCTTATCCTATGCCATGTTCAAATCAAACCTTACCCTTTGCTATGTTCAAATCAAACCTTACCCCATGCTATGTTCAAATCAAACCTTACCCAATACTATGTTCAAATCAAACCTTATCCTATGCCATGTTTAAATCAAACCTTTCCCAATACCAGGTTCAAATCAAACCTTGCGCTATGTTATGTTCAAATCAACCCTTACCCAAATCCATATTCAAAACAAACCTTACTGGATACCATGTTCAAACCATACCTTACCAAATGCTATGTTCAAATCAAACCTTACCCAACACCATGTTCAAATCAAACCTTACCCAATATTTTGTTCAAATCAAACCTTATTCTATGCCATGTTCAAATCAAACCTTACTGGATACCAAGTTCAAATCAAACCTTACCCAATACCAAGTTCAAATCAAACCTTACCCAACACCATGTTCAAATCAAACCTTACCGAATATTATGTTCAAATCAAACCTTATTCTATGCCATATTCAAAACAAACCTTACTGGATACCAAGTTCAAATCAAACCTTACCTAATACCAAGTTCAAATCAAACCTTACCCAACACCATGTTCAAATCAAACCTTACCCAATATTATGTTCAAATCAAACCTTATTCTATGCCATGTTCAAATCAAACCTTACCCTATGCTATGTTCAAATCAACCCTTACCCAAATCCATATTCAAAACAAACCTTACTGGATACCATGTTCAAATCAAACCTTACCCAACACCATGTTCAAATCAAACCTTACCCAACACCATGTTCAAATCAAACCTTACCCAATATCATGTTCAAATCAAACCTTACCCAATATTTGTTCAAATCAAACCTTACCCAATATCATGTTCAAATCAAACCTTACACTACACCATGTTCAAATCAAACCTTACCCAAAACCATGTTCAAATCAAACCTTACCCAATATCATGTTCAAATCAAACCTTACCCAATATCATGTTCAGATCAAACCTTAGCCAACACCATGTTCAAATCAAACCTTACCCAACACCATGTTCAAATCAAACCTTACCCAACACCATGTTCAAATCAAACCTTACCCAATATTATGTTCAAATCAAACCTTATTCTATGCCATGTTCAAATCAAACCTTAGCCAACACCATGTTCAAATCAAACCTTAGCCAACACCATGTTCAAATCAAACCTTACCCAATATTATGTTCAAATCAAACCTTATTCTATGCCATGTTCAAATCAAACCTCAGCCAACACCATGTTCATATCAAACCTTAGCCAACACCATGTTCAAATCAAACCTTACCCAATATTATGTTCAAATCAAACCTTATTCTATGCCATGTTCAAATCAAACCTTAGCCAACACCATGTTCATATCAAACCTTAGCCAACACCATGTTCAAATCAAACCTTACCCAACACCATGTTCAAATCAAACCTTAGCCAACACCATGTTCAAATCAAACCTTACCCAACACCATGTTCAAATCAAACCTTAGCCAACACCATGTTCAAATCAAACCTTATTCTATGCCATGTTCAAATCAAACCTTAGCCAACACCATGTTCAAATCAAACCTTAGCCAACACCATGTTCAAATCAAACCTTAGCCAACACCATGTTCAAATCAAACCTTACCCAACACCATGTTCAAATCAAACCTTATCCAACACCATGTTCAAATCAAACCTTACCCAACACCATGTTCAAATCAAACCTTATTCTATGCCATGTTCAAATCAAACCTTAGCCAACACCATGTTCAAATCAAACCTTAGCCAACACCATGTTCAAATCAAACCTTAGCCAACACCATGTTCAAATCAAACCTTACACTACATCATGTTCAAATCAAACCTTATTCTATGCCATGTTCAAATCAAACCTTACCCAACACCATGTTCAAATCAAACCTTAGCCAACACCATGTTCAAATCAAACCTTACCCAACACCATGTTCAAATCAAACCTTACCCAATATCATGTTCAAATCAAACCTTACCCAATATTTGTTCAAATCAAACCTTACCCAATATCATGTTCAAATCAAACCTTACACTACACCATGTTCAAATCAAACCTTACCCAATTTCATGTTCAAATCAAACCTTACCCAATTTCATGTTCAAATCAAACCTTACCCAATATCATGTTCAGATCAAACCTTAGCCAACACCATGTTCAAATCAAACCTTACCCAACACCATGTTCAAATCAAACCTTACCCAACACCATGTTCAAATCAAACCTTAGCCAACACCATGTTCAAATCAAACCTTAGCCAACACCATGTTCAAATCAAACCTTATTCTATGCCATGTTCAAATCAAACCTTAGCCAACACCATGTTCAAATCAAACCTTAGCCAACACCATGTTCAAATCAAACCTTAGCCAATACCATGTTCAAATCAAACCTTAGCCAACACCATGTTCAAATCAAACCTTAGCCAACACCATGTTCAAATCAAACCTTGCCCAATATCATGTTCAAATCAAACCTTACCCAATACCATGTTCAAATCAAACCTTACCCAATACCATGCTCATATCAAACCTTAGCCAACACCATGTTCAAATCAAACCTTACACTACATCATGTTCAAATCAAACCTTATTTTATGCCATGTTCAAATCAAACCTTACCCAACACCATGTTCAAATCAAACCTTACCCAACACCATGTTCAAATCAAACCTTACCCAACACCATGTTCAAATCAAACCTTACCCAACACCATGTTCATATCAAACCTTACCCAACACCATGTTCAAATCAAACCTTACCCAATACCATGTTCAAATCAAACCTTACCCAACACCATGTTCAAATCAAACCTTACCCAATACCATGTTCAAATCAAACCTTACCCAATACCATGTTCAAATCAAACCTTACCCAATACCATGTTCAAATCAAACCTTACCCAACACCATGTTCATATCAAACCTTAGCCAACACCATGTTCAAATCAAACCTTACCCAACACCATGTTCAAATCAAACCTTACCCAATACCATGTTCAAATCAAACCTTAGCCAACACCATGTTCAAATCAAACCTTAGCCAACACCATGTTCAAATCAAACCTTAGCCAACACCATGTTCAAATCAAACCTTGCCCAATATCATATTCAAATTACCCAATACCATGCTCAAATCAAACCCTATCCAATACCATGCTCAAATCAAACCCTATCCAAAGCCAAGCTCAAATCAAACCCTATCCAAAGCCAAGCTCAAATCAAACCCTATCCAAAGCCAAGCTCAAATCAAACCATAGCCTATATCAGGTTCAAATCAAACCTTACCCAATGCTGTGTTCAAATCTGTTGTGTGCTGCTCCAGGGAAGACGAAATAACAAGCTCCGAGTTGCTTGATGAAACGGAGTCTCTGGAACTGTGGTGTGTCAATGATCTTCACACACAGCGGGTGCAGCTCCACGTGGCCATGGATTGGATCATTGAATATCTGTAACGACAGTCATTTCGGGCATCAGAAAAAGGAGAGAGCAAATCTGATTGAGAGAAACACATCATACCTGACATTGTACACATTCAAACATAATACATAACTTATGCCACAGAGTGAGTGAGTGAGTGATTGAGTATGGTTTTATGCCGCTGTTAGCAATATTCCAGCAATATCACAGTGGGGAAAACTGGAAATGGGCTTCCCACACTGTACACATGTATAACATAGGGAATCCAACCCGGGACTTTGTTGTGACGAGTGAATGCTTTAACCACTAGGCTACCCCACCGCCCCTATGCCAGAGAGACTGAGTTGCCTTATACTGTTCATACAGTACAGGATTTGTTTGTTTGTTAGGTGTTGAACATCACACTCAGCAATCATCGAGCTATATGGCGGTGGTCGGGAAATACTCTAGTCTGGACCAGACAATCCAGTGACCAACAGCATGAGCATCAGTCTATGCAATTGAGATACAATGTGTCAACCAAGTCAGCGAGCCTGACCATCCAATCCCGTTAGTCACCTCTTACGACAAGCATGAGTGGCTGAAGACCAATTCTAATCTGGATCTTCACAGGATCTTAGCCTGCTGAATTATTATCAGCATTAGGCGTTGTACAGAGGGTCGGTCATTTTGAACAGCCACAAAGCTGGGGAGACACTTGCCAGGAAACAAAACAAGAGTCATCAGAAGATGACAAACCCCCCCCGGCCCCCATAAATTTGAAAAGACAAATCAACTGACAGTTACTTGAAGTCCAACTTGATATTTTTGCACTATGTCCAAATCATTAAATCATGAAAAACAAAAATGTCAAAATCTGCAAATAGCAAAAGGCAATACTTCAAGATCTGTATGATATATCTGTTAAGTCTTATAGAAAAATATTGAACAGTTTTCGAGTTGTGATCCGGAAACGAAACCTGTCCCTCCCTTTTGAGACTAAGTCCAATTCGTTTCCATGGAAACCAAGAAAAATAAAACAACAAAAACCTGCAAATAGCAAAAGCCACCACTTCAAGATCTGTCTCATATATCTGCCAAGTTCTGTTGAAAGATATTGAAGTTGTGCTCCGGAAACAAAACCACCCCTCCCTTTTGAGACTAAGTCCAAAACGTTTCCATGGAAACCAAGAAAGAAAAAATGCCAAAAATCTGTAAATAGCAAAAGGCACCACTTTAGCTTATGTTTGATATATCTACCAAGTCTTGAAGAAAGATATTGATCGGTTTTCGAGTTGTGCTTCAGAAAAGATGGTCACCCCTCCCTTTTGAGATTAAGTTCAACTTGTTTCCATGGAAACCAAGAAAAATAAAAATGCCAAAAATCTGTATATAGCAAAAGGCACCACTTTAGGTTCTGTTTGATATATCTTCAAAGTTTTTCAGAAAAATATGGAACAGTTTTTGAGTTATGCTCTGGAAACAAAGCCCACACCTCCCTTTAAGACTAAGTCCAAAACGTTTCCATGGAAACCGAGAAACCTGAGTCTGAGATGCAGTCTGAGATGTAAGCAACTAACCCATATTACAAGTCAGTAGACATTCTAAACAGTAAGCTTCACCAATTAAAATTCATAACCTAACACTAAAACTGATTCAAAAGTATGTCAAGAGACAGACCGACTCAATAGTTTTGGCACTGACAATAAGACAATGTCAGGGGTGGAAATAACTTTAACATTGCTAGTGTACTCCGGTACAGTGGCATATGTAAAATCACTTGCCCTGATAATTTTTCCACTATACCGTCCATTTTCTTGTTGATTTTTTTAAATAAACAACATAATTAACATTGGAAAGTCAACTGGACACCGGTACTGTTTGATATACAAATTTGCTTGCCCGACAGAAAAAAACACTGCACTCGGACGTCGGGCAATGGGTTATTTCCACCCCTGATAATGTGCCAGGACAGCTTAACATATTCCAAGTGTTGACTCACTTCCTGTCTATGTCTGTCCAACTAACTCTCCACTGAGTCTGATGCATCATATGACGAGGACTAAATCATTAACATGAAAATTTCTATAAAACTAGAAACTAAAACGATCACTGGATTGTCTGGTCCAGACTCAATTATTTACTGTCCACCGCCATATAGCTGGAATATTGCTGAGTGTGGCGTTAAACAACAAACAAAAGAAAAGAAACTGAAAAATTAAGATAATGATTCACAGGATCCTAAATCAGATCAATTGTGTTATTAAATGCAGCAGATATATTCCAGTTGTAAGATGGCAATTTGGTAATATTGGAGTCTGGACCTGACAAACCAGTGATTGATATAATGAGCAACAACTATTAATCTGTCCTGCACCTACCTTTGTATTTGGGTGATAGGTACTCCATTTGTTGGCCTTACATCCAATATCATGTAAGAACTTCTCAAAATCAAGGATTGTACCCATTTTTCTGAAAAAAAAACCCCAACCCAATAAAATATAGTCAGTAACTGATTTACACAAAGGCAGATGAATTTGGTTTTTAATTCCAACAGACAAGGGTGCAGATATATCCCAAAAGTTAAAAATTCAAAAAAAGTAAAAAAGAACATTACATCTATACATTGAAGCAAGGGTGTAGACATATTACCAAATTTAAAAATTAAATAAAGTAACGAACGAAATATCCAGAATGATACAAACTTGAAAGAATTCACTTAACACAACAATCTGTTCCAGCTAGAACTTTATAATATTTGACATATATCTTAATAATAGTATTCATAAATATTTATCAGTGACAGTCACAGATGATCAGTGAGGCCAGTTATAGATATGAATCCTGTTTAAAGTCTGCCACAGGGGAACTCACAAAGATCTTAAAGTGTAATCTAAGGGCGCAAGCAAGCACAATACTATTGATCAATCATTAAACTAAGTGAATATCCTAGCAAAATGAGCTTGATAATAAATGGTCATAATTCAACAAGTTGGCATCTTCATTTTATTAAAATCGATAAAATATTATTGAGATACTGGACCAGCATTAATTCTTCTATGAATCTAGTGGGCATGGTATACATATATATCATTTGTTTGCCCAGAGCCTCTTGTGACAATAGAAACTTAAAGGATATATATTGAATATAAACTTCTTAACATATGTAAATGGACAAACAAAGGATACATATTTACACTCAAGAAAACGTCATAAGTGATTTTATTGTTAACTAAAAAGCACCAAACAAGTGCTCTAACTCCACAACCTGCATGTGTGCATATCGTAATCCCAGCCTCGGGAAAGCTCGGGCTGTGACGTCACAGTGACCAGCTGCCTGCAGTTTCCCTTTGTTTACAGTGCATTCATCTACATAATAATGGAGTGATTTTCCCGTTATTCTCAGTGTGTGCTAGACGTGAGATTGTATATTTATTCAAAGGGGTGTCCCAGTCCATCCGAAAAAGGAACCAAGTGTCATTTCTTCTAAACGTAAAGACCAATTCAGCGAGAGTGACATTTCGGCAACAGCATACAGTCCGTTTGAGTCAGAAACGGACCGATGAATAGCAAATTTTATCATTGTACAAAATTGCCACCATTCTCTTCCCACAGAGGTTACTCCTGTCATATCTTCCTACATAACCTCTGTTCTAATACGGCCATATTTCCCGGTCCTCGTAAAATCCCCTAGCGGCAAAAGATCGCAACACGAATTATCTCCCTTCTTTCTATCCAATCAGAACACGTGTTACATCGACTTAGATTCAATTTGACTAACACAAGCAAATGCGGGGCCACAAATATCCCCCATCTGCCGGGGAATTGTGTTGATGTTACACACAAGACGTTTAATGGCTAGCTTGTCCTTTGTCAACGAGGGCAATGGAGACGCCATTGATACGCCATTACATGACTGAGTTCTGTCTAGAAGAAACGTTTGCGCATCGCTTCGGAAGAAGGTTCTAGTTTTCCCGAAGCATACGGAAATTACCGAGGCCTTCGCGAATGATCACTTTTGAAACAACGCCGCTGATTGCACAACTAAATCGGCTTGTCTCCAATCACGAGCCTTGAACGCTGACACCAAGAAAGTGTCGTATTAGAACAGAGGTTATGTAGGAAGATATGACAGGAGTAACCTCTGTGGGAAGAGAATGAATTGCCACATAAATATAAATAGTACACATGTTTATCATTTACTAATACCCAACAGCTTTCTTATATTTGAAAATTTTCCGGACTCCACCAAAAAAGTTCTTTAAGAAACTATCATTAAAATTTTGACACAGTTCACTATTTGTTACGAGGGAGGAGTGCAGAGAAAGGGACAGCCAGGTGTTAGAGAAGCACGTGCACAAGTGCCCACCAAGTTATTGATTCATTAGCCTGTGCTGTGCCGTCGCCATCCTTTCTCACACACCTGGCTGTTTCTGACGTTTCTGATGTTTCTGACTCAAACGGACTGTAATTGGTATGCATGGTAACTGCTCACAACCATGTACATAACATACACCAAACGTAAAGTCAGCTGAAATCATGTAATTAAAGATTTGTTTGACAAGGATAATAAAAATATATTGAACAAGTTTTTGAATTGGGGACTGCTTTTTATAGACAAGGGGAAAACAGTGTGTTAGTTTTATTTGGTAAACATAGTTTCACTGGACATATGTTTATCATCAATCATTAGTGATCAATGGGAGGCAGATCTAGGGTTTTTCAAGCAAAAAAGCTGTTATAGAGATAGACAATAAAAGAACATTGCAGCTCTATTTCAATAATTGTTTTGTTTATTTCTTTCTTCGTTTATATTCTGTTTGTGTGTGTAATATATTGTCTTAAGCCCCTTTTAGCAATATTAGAGCAATTTAATGGTAAGGAACACCAGAAATGGGCTTCACGCATTGTACCCATGTGTCGATTAGAACCCGGTGTAGCAGCCCAGAATAACCCCCCACCAGATTATACCCCGAGGTAAACTATAGGCTAGCCCAGTTTATACCCCGGGGGTATATTCTGGACCAGGCCAAAGTATACCCTTCCAGCCCAGACTATACCCCTAAAAATGATCAATTATCATCAATCTAATTAGAGCTGTACCATTATGTAGGTGGGTGTTGTCTTAATTAATACCCTACTCCACTGTCTAACAACTGGCTGTCTAACTAATGGGAGATAACCGGTGTGAGAAGGGGCTGGTATTTATTTATTAATATGAACAAGTGACTCTGGAGACTGATCTTGGTGTCATGTAAATGTATTTAAAAGTGCATTTCATTTCGCATCCTATATCACATTCAACCTTCAACATGGATGACAACCTCTATACCCAGATCTTGAACTTCTACACCAACTCTGATAAGAAGTATCCTCGGCACATCTATGACCTGGATCCTGACACGCGTTTGAATGCGAAGTCACATTTTCGGCAAACTGTTACACCGGGTCTTTGGCGTTATAGGCAAATGCTTTAACCTCCGCCCAAGTTGTCACTGACATACAACCCAAGAGAAATGTGAGAGACTAACTGGTCCAGCCACATAATTTGAATCCAAATCCATGTTTATGTGATGACAAACTGCATTACACAATCTCTATTGTATCACTTAAAGACAAGTAGGCTGAAACTAAGAACAAAGACATGTACAGTTGCAAGTTTCACTTCCATTTCCACTTCACTTTTCACTGAGTGAGTGAGTGAGTGAATATGGTTATATGCTGCTTTTAGCAATATTCCAGCAATATCACAGCGGGGGACACCAGAAATGGACTTCACACATTGTGCCCATGTGGGGAATCGAACCCGGGTCTTCGGCATGACAAGCAAATGCTTTAACCACTAGGCTACCCCACCGCCCGTGCACTGAGTGAGTGAGCGAGCTAGGTTTTACACAACCTTTAGCAAGATTCCAGCAATATCGCAGCAGGGACACCAAAAATGGGTACATTGTACCATGTGAGGATTCAAACAAGGGCCTTCGGAGTGACGAGCCAACGCTTTATACACCAGGCTACCCCATCGCCTCGACGTCAGCCAGACAACAAGATCTTCATTAGTCATCTGTTAAAATAATCACAAGTACTTTAAACCAATACTGTCCCAGAATCCATAAGCTGTATGAACCAATGTATTGCAACACATATATCATGTCCAACTATGTCATAACACTTTTGACATAGAAACAAAGAGTCTGCTTACCTGATCCCCATTTCTTTTAACCTTTCATAAGAGACAAAGTGCAGATGTCTCCCTGCAATTTCTTCCTCTGAAATTAACAAATTCAAATTTAGTTCATTTTAGTATTTGTTTGTTGCTGCAATGGCAGCCTTTGTCACCAATACAGTCACAGTTACCATTTTCTACCTTTAACAGTATATAATGATAGTAACAATAATAATCCAGCTTATTTATGTTGCAATAGCTTCCATACACAGGGTGTACTTATCACCAGGATTAATTGATCAGTGTGTGCTCATTATCCATTCTCAGCTCACTCAGGAATAAACAAACCAAACTGCAAGGAGTAAAATAAAATATTATCACCTCGATCAGTGGATAAGTGTGTACTCGTTATTCATTCTCAGCTCCCTGGCGTATATACAACCCAAGCTGATTGTAAGGAATGAGAAGGTGTGAACAGTCACATTACCATGTCCTCCTTCCAGGTACCCATTAGCTACAGAAATCAGATTATTTTATCTAAGGCAACACAACATATGTTAAAAATGTGCTGCCGTACACAGTCACCAATCAGAGTACTTCTCCTGGGTGTAACCTGTTTGATGTGCAACATATGTTATATTTAGGATTACACTTAATCTGAAAGCGTGGGTTCAAATCCGGGATGGGACTCAACTCCCCATAAGTACTAGAATATGCAATTTACAAAGAAGTGAAATGGAGTTAAATGTCATACTTAAGAATATTTCGCTCATTTGACGACGTGCATGCGTGTGTATGTGTGGCTGCTCGTTTCACTTGAGCCAAATATTATTTACATTTTTATTTTGTCATGATAAAAAGTTTTTATTAAAGCTTAATCAAACACAGTGATTTTGTTGTGTTTTTGCTTTATAAATAAAGCATTGACTCGATTATAAGTCGTCTTTTTGTTAAAAAGACTTCTTGCAATATATTGCAATACAAATCGCAATATATGCTTTCGCATCGCAATATGAAAATTCCCTTCAATACCCACCCCTTGCAGTTACGCGTGAATATCCCATGCAGACACATTTTATTGACTCCCGACCAGACCTTATTTTACCAAACAAGGGACCAGCAGGGACCAACAAGTACCATATTTTAATGTCTTTTGGTTTTATGTGGCAGGGGATCGAACCCGCGACCTTCCTCTCAATTATCTTTAAGATGTTTACTTTGGAGGCATTTTAACAAATCATGAAAACATAAATATTGGTAATGCTGTAAATGAAATACTTGTGAACAATAAGCTGTTTACTAACTGGAAGCAGACAACTCTATCATAGGTATATGTACCTACTTGAGAGCATATCATGGATAACATGTACCGAGTTTCAATGACAAGCTATGACATAGACGATGACCTTGACCCTTCAAGTAACAGATGAAGGCGTTAACAATCTTACCCAGGGCTAAAATGGAGGTGTGTACTTGATATGCTATCCCACAGATGTCCACAGTTAAAAATCAACATGCAAATGTTCCTGCTTATTAGTTTAAAAACCTAAGACATACATTAGCCATAACTGAAGCTTTACCAAATACCTTGGAACTTTTCTGCCAATTCCTGTAAACCGGTCTGAGTGAGTTGTTCTGCAAGCTCATCTACAGACCAGAACTGCCATGACTGGGGATCCTCTTGGTGATTGGATTCTTGGGAGAATGTCAGTTCATAGGCCCCTGAAGTCATCCTTGGTTTCTTGGCTGGAGGCGTGGAGGCATCAGGATGTCCGTTCATAATGATTGTAATTGTTGTGGAGGGTGCAGTGATAGGAAGATGGGTCCAGGTTCTATCTTGAATCAGAGGGGGTGGTAGTAGGAAGACAGGTCCAGGTTCTATCTTTATACTCTAACTGTGACAAGGTATCCGGACAGCTGACGTGGAAGCACTGAAGACAAACACCAGGTGAAGAGTATTTCAGTTGTATCAAAGCATGCCAGTTAACTACAGTCAAATGTTCTATAAAATGACACTACTTTATTGCAGATAATGTAAGATATGAATGAATATTCCAAACTTCTAGTTTCTAGTCCAAACAATAATTTTCAATATTTCATTTTACCGAACTACGTTCAGATGAGACCACTACTGCCCTCCTGCCGAAGGTACCAATCCTGTTTAGCTGGGGATCATCACTGTACCGAGCCAGAGCTAGGAACACCCCTAAACGACCGAAACAACGCATCGACATCGCCCTGACAGATTTCTACACGAAGACATCCTTTTTCACTGTGGACAGTGCATTTGGCGAAATGCCCAGAAATGTGGACTCCAGTCTGAGTACAACCGTCATGAGAATGTGAAACTCATCATCAGAAGAGCATCCTCAGTAATCTCCAGGGTATACGTTACGATAAATCTCCACTATACCCTGGATGCATCTACGGCCTGGCCACATAATTTTATTACCTACCTTTGCTGGCTCCACATTCTCACAGTAGCCAATCAGCTAAGCTCAGATATTTGGGGAAATCATACAGACAAATTAACAGGTCTGAAATCTTAAAAAAATATATGCAAGAGCTCTTTCTACCTCTTTCAGAGCACCTCTGCAACAATTATGTTGCCAAGTTTAATTGGTTAGATAAAAGAAGAGAAAGTGAGTTGTGATGGGTACACTCAAGTTCCCAGCCTAGACACCTGATTGGATAAAAAGCCAGTCAAAAAAGGTAATAAAATCATGGGGCCGAGCTGTAGATGCATCCAGGGTGTAGTGAAGATTTATTGGAATGTGTACCTTGGAGATTATCGAGGATGTCAGAAGAGCTGCTGTTCTTCCTTTAGTGCCTGTACGTTACATCGAAGATGTGTGGTTGAACGCCCTGAATGATGCTCCCCTACACGACGCCAGAGTACTACAATTTGCAGATTATGAGACAGACTTCTGGGTTAGGCCTAAAAAAAAAAAAGCTTGTGGTTCCAATTTCCCGACCGACCTTAAATATTCCCGCCGAGCCTAACAATTTTACTCACCACATAATAAATTAAAAGTATTTTCTGACACATGAGTAATGTAAAAATATTTTGCAAAAAAACAAAACTTCCTACCTACCTACCCTAGTTCAGAAATGTAGGATATCGGAACCATAACATTTAATTTTTTGGGCCTTATGGGCGACCACGGTCGCAACACCTGGAACCATCATGATACTGTAGTGCCTAGAACCAAAAACCACATGGAAGGCTGGCACTACAAATTGGCATCAATTATGGCCACACCTCATCCCAACATCTATAGAATACAGACTTCTTCAAGACAGAGCAGGCCTACACAGAAGCCCACATCCTTCAGTTAGCTGGTGGATGATTGCTGAGACCCAAGAGATCGAAGTATCGAAATCTTGAGTCAGCTTGAAACTGAAAAACGCTAACTGAGAGAATGAAGAAAGATGGCTCTAGCATATGCAGATGCATTTTCTTTCTTTTTTTGTTAGATTGTGATTGTGTATGACAGTGTATATGTACATGACAGTGTGACTATGTAAATCAAGATAACTTGATTGTGTATCAATATATGGGATATGTTTGATGTGACTGATGCTGAATGATGATGCATTGTCAGAGATGAAATAAACAACTACATGTACTTAACAGTCCATTCCATTGTTATGTTTGAGTCACCATCTCCAAACTGTAACCCCTCTTACAGGCTAACAGTCCATTCCATTTTCTTATGTGTCATTCGTCACTACTCGCCCCTTTCCGTAACCTCCAAGAAGACTCGTCCCCCTCTTGATGCTTGTTATGTGCGAAAATACGACAAACCAATCAGAACACGGTAAATGAGTGCGGTGCTTTGATAAAAATAATCCCAAGTATGGCATTATGTCATTGTTTAAAAAATCATGAAAAATATATATCGTCAAATTGAAAGTACAAAGAACGTAGCTAACAGGATTTTGCTGCCTCTTATGAAGTTTTTAATAAGAATCATGGGATTGTTTGTTGACATAACGGCTCTCATGGGTCCAACTGAGTGTATTTCTGACGGGCTTGTTATGGAGATTGTATGTGCGCTTCCAACAATTTTAGGAAATGTAATCAAAACAATAATATCTAATCAACTAATCAACCCTAATCTTTAACATTGGGCTTAAATTTCACAGCTCTGGGGATATTTTAGTCTGACTGTTTTTTGGCATTCATATTTTTTTCCAGGTGTGTGACAGCAAGGTTACACGAATGTTCAGTTTGAGAAATATTTTAAAGTAATTTTTGAGTGTCTGCTTTGGGATTTAATGGAGCTGAAAAAATACTATTTTATTTGTATATTCAATAAAACAATTCCCATTCATGATTATTAAACCCTATTTAGAAAATTAACATAATTGGAACTATAAGGTGAACTGGTAATAATTACATTAGAACAAGTCTTTAACAAATATGTTTCTCTCCTTTTAGTTGTATCAAATAGGTTTAATTCTTTAAAATAGATAAGCAAAAACACCCCCAAAACAACAACCTAGCAATGTACATGTACTTCTGTGATATTAAGAAACATTGCAATCAAACAGGGATAGAGTTATCATTCTTGTTAAAAGTAGTTCTGATGTTCATGCGCCAATATGAAATCTTTCCAGAGGGGCACGAGTCGCTATTCAGCTTGTCCCGGAATAACACGAATTGGTCACGAATGGTTATGTGTAAGTTACCTGTACTACCTGTCACCCCTAAAATGAAAGTGAGTCTGTCTCACAGTTCTTAATCCTCTGATCCCTCTGTTTACTTAAATTTCCAAATGTTGGGAAACCAGTACACCCTATAGAATGGTACCAAACCTGCATTAACACCACCTTATAGTGTCTCCAAGTGTAGTACTTAAAGCAGCATGCTGGTTCAAAGTAAAGCCCATTTTCATTACTCTCAACAATCTCTATATCACTAGTGTTTAGTCCAGTTTGACCCAGGCGGTCAAAATCAACTTTAACCTCATAGATGCATCATCAAATGAGCTTATGTTCATAACACATTATTACATCTACCTTTGCAATGTCACACTACATAGCATTTACAGGTATAGTAAAACCTATTTTCCCCTTGTCAACCTTGGCTCTCTTACACCTGTTACATGGGATTCTGACTCAAAATCAACTTTTAATGCCAATTCTCTCTTATAACTTTGGCTTTTGTTAAAGTGTATGCCTACTCTTTCTCCAATATATTGATGCTCATGCTGTTGATCACTGGATCATCTGGTCCAGACTGGATTATTTACAGACTGCCGCCATATAGCATGAATATTGCTGAGTGCAGCGTTAATCAACAAACAAACCAACCAATCTGACAGAGACTATCACGTTAAGTAATGTGTTTCCTTCAAATACTACACTCTGAGACACTATAAACTGATGTTTCAGCTGATAAAATGCTATTCTACAGATGTGAGCAGATTTCATGATACATCTGTCAGGGGTAGAAATAACTTTAAAATTGCTAGTGTACTCCAGTACAGTGGCACATGTAAAATCACTTGCCCTGATAATTTTCCACTATACCGGACTATTTTCTTGTCGGTTTCTTAAATAAACAACATAATTAACATTGGAAAGTCAACTGAACACCGGTACAGTATGATACACAAATTTGCTTGCCCGACAGAAAAAAACACTGGATTCGGACGTCAGGCAATGGGTTATTTCCACAGTATCTAATGTCAGTTGTCACTTTCATACACTGACAGATCTTACATATGTATGTGTACATGGGTCAGTGAACAAATGGGGTAATATCTCCATCTATAAAACAAGACTGACATAACAGCTGTGTCACAGGGCCCATACTGTTATAATGCAAACCATTTCAAGTTCCTTAAAACTTTGTTAGTCAGAAATACACAGCTGCTTCAAAATCTGAATTCTATGTCCTTTGTCTGTTACATGCTTTCAACAAACATTCAGTGTATTCCCTCTCATAATAAACCCCTTTATAGGCAGGACCCTTTTTTCCCAAAACAGTATCTAATGTCAGTTGTCACTTTCTTACGCTGAAGGATCTTGAACATGGTTCAATGAACAAATCAGTGTGCAAAATTTACGCTGGTCCTGTTGTCCCTGGCTCGTAAAAATTCATCAGGACCACCAAATGATAAGTGAGCAGTATAGTTTGGCATGAAATGCATGTAGACCCGTTTTTTGTAAATATCTCTTCATCCAATGACCCAATCGATCTCAAACTGTGCAAGTGGATGTTTTGTCAGACAACCTAATCAGATTGTAAATCACCGATTTTATGCATTTGTATTAAAGAATCTGTCTATGTAACTGTCAACAAAATAAACAGCAGAACGCAGAAGGCTTGCAGAGGGAGGGAGCCAATGACCTGTAACAGCCGCCTTTAACACTTCTGACAGAGGCTTTCATGAGAGTAAAAGATAATTGCTCCAATGTAACCAACATGTTTGCTTTAAATAAAATGCACTTGGACATTATACGATTAACTTTTATATAGGTAGATGTGAAACTATAGATGCGGACACATTAAATTACATATTTACAACTTTTTATGTTGATTTTAACAGCACAGACTGAATCATTCAAAACACACATAACCAAGATTTTCTTAAGAAATTACAATAAAAAGCTTCAGCTGTCTTCCTGAGGTACATGAACTACTGTGAGTCTTGGTATTTTAAAAGCAGAGCCATACCATTTATAATAAAAATATGTAAATATGTAAATCTTACAAAACAGTTGTTGCAAGTGTTATTTGGGAGTCACTATGCTTTTCGCCTCTTGAGAGGATTAACGAGTACCAGAAATTTGAAATCCCTGCTGCTTTCAAATTACCCTCTGCCCAAACTAGTATGGTATCAGAAACAGCAGTGAATCCAGTAACTATGGAATGCAGATGCTTCTCTGACAACCTAATTACTGGTAGTCAAATTACATGCACAAAATATTCACAACAGGGGTGAAACCGTAACACTTATACCCCTGCTGGCATTAAACTTGTTAAATGCCATGTTAAGTCAGTTCAAATAGCAGCTAATTAGGAGAGATTAGTCCATATTAAATCAATTGATCAATGCTCTTTGAACTCAGACAATTATAAATAATTACACAATGACAACGTTATATATTGTTCATGCAGTTGATATCTAATTTGGCCATGTTAGATATCCCCACATCTGTTTAGCAGACATCTCAAATTTAGCAAGAGATGAAAAATAAACATTCTGCATTTACAAGTCAGGTATATTATAAATACTCTTGGAAAGACAAAGTTACATGAATACAGATAATAAAGAGATCAATAATAATAATGTTCATCTCGATTGGGTATCCTAATTTTCCTTTAACTAACCAAATAAATTGGACCCATATCACTAACTCAATTTGGTATTTTGCCATTGTCCATTAATTGTAAAATAGCTGGAAAGTTGCTTAATATAATAAATAACAAACCACATCACCAACTTGCTCAAACAAAAATATGTCAGTACTCCTTCAAAATTCGCAGTACACCTCCACTTGCAATATGAGGTGTAATTACACCCACACCCCCAAAAGTTTATCTGGAGCCCTGCTTTATATATGTTAGACATACAAAGGTATTTATGTGTGTACATTATACACTTGAAATCTTATATCATGTCGTACTTCATTGTTTTTTAGGCGTACATTACCCCTGTACGCCCCTTGTCTGTAGCCCTGATATATAGTATGCAATTTCAAATGAAGGGCTACAGTTCGATTCACCAAATATCACACGACCTGTAACATCACTGAAAGATCGCATATGCAAACTGTGCAGTAGTAGCTCCGTGGAAGATGAGGTGCATTTTCTTGTTGAGTGGAGGGTATTGTAATGTTTCTGTGTGTGTGTGAAATAGTTTCCAGGATTGCTGCATGATTATAAAGTGTATTATAACTTAACAAGTCGGAGAGAGCGATATATTTACAAAATGACCCCATGAAAATTCAATAGCCAGTCGAGCCAGTGACTGTGGAGACTTACTAGCCTGACTAGATTTTTGCTAGCCATGGGCTAGCGGGCCAGTGGCTATTTCGCACACTGCAACAGTGACACTCATTTTGTATGTCTGACAGTCTGAGGTGATCATATGTAAGTCCACAGTATATCGTTTGTCCCCCTGAATCTAGCGGGGGAGGTCTTTCCACATTACATCATACATGATTAACATAACTTTACAGTTTTTTATTTTCAATACTGAAAGACCATATTGCCATAGTACATAATCACATTTCATATGTCGAGTGTATTGTTACTTGCTTGTACCATCTTATCAGTAACATGAGATCACTGAACAGATGTTTGGCAAAGATACACTGCACTGCTAAATAACAATTTGTAATTTGGCAACTGTTTTGATAACATTAGATGAGTATACATGTTGATGAAAGATGCAACACACATATTGTTAGACATACAAAACAACTTCATAAATTACTAAAGTCTATCAGTGTTTAGCAACAGGATTCGTTCATTGGGTACTTTCCTATTAATAATATCAGTCGATGCTATGAGTTGGAAGGTGACGTTTTTGGACAGTAGACGTGGTAATATTATATATATACCTCGTTCTATTTCATATAAATAAACTCATTCCAGCCTAGGAATCGATCAAGGCCTACATAGTACATCGATCACACATTGATATACAAGTGCAAAGTCGTCTAACGTCCTTCTCTCTTTTCTAATTGTTTTATAATGTGGAAACTTGATTGAACGTGATTAGCGGGCATATGACACTGTTGTTACAAGATTACAAGAGAACGCTGGTGGATGTAGCGAAAACATTTAGTCGGTTGTGTATATGTTGTGTTGGCCGGGCGCAAGTAATCAGCTGGAGATAATGAATGAAGTTACCCTCCCATCTTCCAGTATTACAGATGGTGAAATCCATTTAAACACAACCTGGTTCCCTGGGTCCGTAGCGCAGGCACAACGGACCCAAGAACCAGGCTGGGGGAAGGTGAAATGAATTGGTAACTGGTATCCATATTAACCCAATGCACCTTACTTGCTTAAATTGATGTATTTGCTTTTATGCTAATCCCAACTCCGATTCCCTTCCCGGTTCCCTCCAACCAAAAGTACTTACGGGGATGGCCTAAAAGTAGGGCCAAGAAAAGTCGGGGCCGGGCCGGGCATCCGGGTAATACTAAAAATGGATTGCAGAATATTAAAACGAAACCTGACTACATACCGAGATTCCCGTAGAAAAGACATCGTCTTGTTGTTATGTGTTTTCCTTGATATGTATATGAGGGAAGGTTGCTTACTTCTCTTAGCGTGTGACATCCGGGGGGCCTGGGCAGGAAGTGACAGTGTTTTGACTGCTTTTATTTCCTTAATTAAGATATTGGGGTTCCCTAATTAACCTTTATTGTTTCATGCTGAATGAGCACAGGATGTTTATGTTAAAGAGACGTGGATATCGGCGAGTGTGAAAGGGCAAATATGACATGATTATGTATATTAATAGAAACATTTGAAATCACAACATTTTGTCATATGTTATAAAGGATCAAACAAAGTATGCATTCACAAACACAAAAATTATTGTGTTTTCATTGTAAACAATACCAGCCCAAATCAGATAGCCAGCGCGTATGCATATGGTTATATTTACTAATACACATGAAAAACAAAATGGTATTATATCTATCTAAATACCACTTCATCAAGTAAAGTAAAAGTGAAGCCCCTTTCTCTCTCCATTTCCAACGATGTAGGGGAAAAAAGTACTCGGAAAACAAAATCCGCAATCAAAAGTGTTTAGTCTCTGTTCAGCCCGACTTGTCCCGTGCTGTCAAAAACAACCTAAACCTCACACATGTATCCTGATTTGTGTTTTAACACATAGATTAGTATTATATCTACCTACATATCACTTCACAGAGTCTCAAAGCGTAGTATTTGAAGCAAAAACGTTGCTGAAAGGGAAACTGCCTTTTCTACATATTCTCAACAAACAGTATCACAAGCGTTCGGTACGCCTTGGCCCGGGCTCTCAAAAACAACTTTCACCCCACACATGTATCCTGATTTGTATTTACATCCATAGATTAGTATTATATCTACCTAAGTATCAATGTGTGATGTTACAAAATGCCACATGTAAAGATAACTGGTTCGGTAAAGTGAAGCCCTTTTCTCTCCCCAAACACAACATCGCCTCAATCAAAAGTGTTATTCTCCAATAAGACTAATGCAAGTCCGAAACTTCAATTAACTCTTAATAATACTGCGATTTCTGAAGTTTGTGAACATAAACATCTTGGTCTGATTATACAAGATGATGGAAAATGGCAGAATCATATTAATTATATACCAGCCAAAGTAAGTCCACTAATAAATTGTCTGAGAAGTTTGAAACACAGGCTGAACAGAATATCACTTGAAACTACATGTATGTATAAACCATATATTTTGCCTATATTTGACTACTGTGATACCATCTGGGATAATTGTTGTGCCAGGAGCAGGCTCATCTGATAGAGAAGCTACATTTAGATGCCCTTAGGACTATTTCAGGTGCAGTGAGAGGCACAAGTCACGAAAACTTTATGCTGAAACGGGATATTGTTCTTTAGTCGAAAGACGCCACTATTATGAATTATGTATGTTCTACAAAATGGTAAATGGGTTAACACCACAATATCTCTCAGTATGGGTACCACCAAATGTTTCTAATCAAAGCCTCTATAATTTGCGAAACTCCGATAATCTCCAAATGTAATGCGCAGCGTGTATCTTACTTTAATCAATTCTGTTCTCCCATCTACTGTTACAGGCATGGAATTCGCTAGACATCAATATTAGAAATGTAGAATCATTATCAAAATTTAAGAAATGTATATCTTGTGACATGACATTATCCCCAACATTTAAGAATTATATATCGTATGGTCCCAGGCGAGGTCAAATTCTTCTCTGTCGTTTGCGCCTGGGCTGCAGTGATCTTAATTCTCACTTGTTTGATAGATATTTGTCAGACAGCCGAACCTGCTCCTGTGCACGGGAACACTCGAGAAGATGCTTACCATTATGTCCTTCAGTGTCCTCTATATGATAGGTTTAGATTTAATAAATACTTCTTTCAAAATAATATAAGTTTACATGCTATTCTAAGCGGCGATAAATCTTTGTCCCAGTATGAAAACGAATTAATAATAAAATCGGTTTACAGTTTCTTAAATGATACCAACCGTTTTCCATAAAGTGTGGTACCATATGCTTTACTTAGTTTGAAATTATTGAATTACTTATTTCCACAAATGTACTTATAAAATCCTTCTCTGCAAGACTATGTTTAGGAGAAGCATTTACATAGGCTGATGCAGCCTGTTTGCTGATCCTTTTTCTTTTTTTTTGTAACTTAATCATGTTTAATGTATATCACATGTCTTTCGGGAAATAAAATACTGTTTAAAACAAAAGTGTTAGTCGCTGTTCGGCCCGACTTGGTCCGGGCTGTCAGAAACAGCTTAAACCTCACACATGTATACTGCCGAGTTACAGACAAGATGCTTCTCATGTTTTCCACGTGCAGCGTTTGATATCAAAACTGGGTCATGAGATATCAGCGTTTACGCCCTCTGACAAAGTGTTACCATACCTCAGTGTCCTGTGCGTCTGCGACATGTGTGTTTTTATGTCATGAAAGTTTCTTAAGCAACGTGGCTATTTGAATTACAGGTTCTGAAGACCTCAATAAAGTGATATGAATTTACGAACATATCATGTCTTACCACACGTGTATTGATCTATAACGTCACCAAAGCGTGTGACATTGATTTTAAATCTTCATGCAGCATTATTGCAGTACTGTGTATTGTGCGAGGTTGTCCATGGAACCATGAGTTTGTTTAATGTATGCTGAGTGTCTTATATTGTTGGTTATCTGTTGTTTACATGGAGGTATAAAAAGGGTAACGGTCTGGTAACTATGTGCATAGGATGAGCTGCTTGATATGACAGATATGTATATGTGTGTGTATGCATGTATATATTCGCAGGTGTGTGTGTGTGTGCGTGCGTGCGCGTATGTGTATCTTATGTATGTATGTATGTATAGATGTGGGTATCTATGTGCATGTGTGCATATGTGTGTGTGTGCCATGTATGTGTATGCATATGTATATATGTGTGTATGTATGTATGTATGCACCAAGCAGTATGTGGAACACTAAGTCCAACTATGTTGAGTAAATGTTATGAATCTTTCCAAGGATTAATTTGTCATTCTGTATTCAATCCAGTTATACTACTTCTATGCGTAGCTGTCATAATTCATAAAGAGTAACTTACTTCAACAGTTGTTTGATATCCCTTGTATACTTATCTCATGCCGCTATCTCTCTCTAAAAATATTTTGTCAGGTATTATCCGTCCTCCACATTTGTCTTACGTAACAGACGCTCGTGCATCCTGAGCTGCATGCATAGCCGGAATTAAGACGGGTAGGCCCCGGGACGCCCCCTGGATGAATAGTGAGGTACGTAAATTGATTCGTAAACGCAATCGCCATCATAAAATCGCAAAAAGGCGTAACTCATCATTTGACTGGGCACTTTTTAGATTGAGTAGAAATAAAGTTATATCCGCGGTAAGAAATGCAAAGAAGATGTACATGAATAAAATTGATGAACAAATAAATAATGAACATGGTACAAAAACATGGTGGCGTTTAGTTAAGAATTATATAAAAGTAAACACACCACTAATATTAATGCTTTCCTTCGATAATCCAAAACGATAAACTATATGATGATAGTGGTTCGATATAGCAAAACATTATGAATGATTTCTTTGCAGATCAGGCAAGAGTAGCTGCTCCTAATAGGGATATTCCTGAAATTCGTTTAGAGGTAGATAACCCATTATGTGACTTAACACTCTGTCCGCAAGAAATCCATGATATTCCTCTCCTCGTTGATATCATTAAAGCAACAGGCCCAGATGGTATAGGCAACGCAACTTTCTGAAAATGAATGCTAGACAATTAGCAGTTCCCTTTATCTGAAGTTTTTAATCTATCGTTAAAGAATACAGTGTTTCCTGATATCTGAAGGAGGCATCAGTTGTTCCTATACACAAAAGGCAGTACAAATGAATGCTCAAACTATCGACCTGTCCCTGCACCATCAAGTTGTGTAGCAAAGATTTTCGAAAATGCATTTTTAAACATGTATTTAATTATTTTTAGGGATAATGAAATGCTTACAACTTACAATCCGGATTTCATGCCAGGCGATTCAACGGTTAATCCAACTAACGTACCTGTATGACTTTATGGCAGGGCATTAGATAGCGGTAAGGAAATTAGGGCTGCCATTTTCAGACAACAAAAGCTTTTGACAAGGTCTGGCATAAAGGTATTATACATAGCTAAAGACGTTATGGCATTTGGGGTAACTTGTTGAAATGGTTTGAGAGTTATCTGGTGACAATAGAGTTCAGCGAGTTGTTATTAATGGTTTACGCGTCTGATCAAAGATCAATCCTAGAGATTCCCAAGGCTCTGTCTTAGGACCATTATTGTTTATATGTAGTTTATATCAACGACATCGTTGAAGGAATTAACAGCAATATCCGTCTCTTCGCAGATGACACATCACTTTATGCTATAATAAATGATCCTGATGAAACTGCTCTGTCTCTAATAATGATCTGCGTAAAATTTCTAATTGGGCTGACAAATGGCAAGTTACATTTAATCTGAATACAAACAGATTCTATACAATTCTCTCGTAAAGTTCAGCCCAGCCCAAACGAACTTAACAATGAAGGATGGTAATATTAATGACGTTAATAGCATATAAACATCTCTTGGGACTTGCACTACAGCACGATTGTTCCTGGACTGACCATGTTAACTGTATCGCTAAAAAAGGTTGCGCCCATGGTAAACTGTCTTAG